CTGTAATTTATCAATAGCGTAATGAGACTGTATTATATCCTGGAATGTTTTGTAAACATCATGTCAGTGTAGTCTTACTAAACCTGATTAGCGATACAACACTAAATGACAGTCATCTTATATAAGGAATTCCATCCATCCAAATCAACATAGGAACAGGCATTACTGAGTAACGGTCCAATTTGCCACACCTCATATCAGTACATCAACTAAAAAGGCTGTGAAGTGCAACATGAAGAAAAGAAAACTCAGTCAGAAGAAATGCAAAGTACGAAAAGGGAGAAAGGAAGAATGAAAAAATAGTGAGATTAAGTGTAGCGTCATTAGGATGAGGATAATGTATGTATACATCTGCATTACTGACATCGGTTCTGAGCCATACCATCACCTAGAGTCTCCAACCACTGGTCCCTCCCGTCCCACGGACCCCAACCGGCTAGTCTACGTCGTCCCACATGGTTCAAACCAACAGTCAAACACTTCATACATTGGTGTCATGTTTCAGTTTGCCCACCTCGGGCCTTTTTCCAGCCTGAACCTGCTTCGGTCAACATTGTATGACGAGACAGACGGCGACTAGGCATACGTCAGACGAGCCTCAACCATCTCAGTCGATGAAGGTTCACAACCGTGCCAACTGATTTACCTCTTCTCCCTAAAACTCTATACCTGACTTCTGCGTTACTTACGTGGTGACACCACGGAATACGGCCTATACTACGAAGGCAATGGTAGTCAATATATCAGGAATTAGAAAATGTTAGACACTGACAAGCTGTTTGCCACAGCTTGAATAGCCTTGTTAAGGTTTTTATTACTGATGGATAGTAGCTAGTATTGCGATCCAGTAATCAGCTGGACTTACCTGCTCCTTAGTGAGTGATGTCCCCACTAGGACTCAAGGCCGGAGCCGATAACTTCAAACGCCAGAACTTTATCCACTAGGCCATTAAGTTATGATAGCCCCTTCTTGTGCGATGGGTAAAGTATACAAGCAACAATATAAAAGCCCTGTTAAATGCTTGCAATTTATTGTGTTGTAGTCTTGCTATTAGCATATAGAAACTCAATTAGATTGTAAACTTTCCAGTTCCTGGGATCCATCGATATTCGTCTTTTCATCGTATTCAGAAAGTGACTTTATAGGTGTGTGGCAAATCGAACTCATGCCAATGCCATTTGCCATAATGATGAGTATTATAGTTAGGTGTCTGGATGAAGTTCACTTCACAATTACCAAACACACACCCACTTTAACTTATCAAGTTAGTTTCTGAGAAGTACAAAATGTAAGGGAAACAATTTCAAAACATACAATAAAACAAGTTTTTAAGCCAATACTGCTCATACTTTGAAAAAACTATCTCCAATTTTTCACAATCATCAACTTTATTTCATAACTAAAAACTCAGAGTTTGTATGTCTTGACCAAGGTTGTAGACATCGGATAATCGAATCGTACCCAGCAGCTTTGTGCACATCCGTGCGGTAGGCAATGAGCCACACCCACCGTAGGAGGGCTAGTGATACTACATGGCTACCTAAACCTCAGTAGGTGGGGTAGGGTTTGAGTCCGTGACCCATAGGTTGAAAGTCATCTCCCTAAACTAATGAACCACAACTCCACGGCAATACATGGACTGCTATGAGACTTTTGTGCATGACTGCAAACTAGTATTTAAAGTGAAAATGAAGTCTATGAAGGTTCTGAACATAAACTCAGCATAACATAGGCGTCAAGAAATAGGCCATACTCGCATACATACATACATAGTAGTAACAAAACTATGGAAACAAAAATAAAAGAGTAGGGCAACAAAAAAGTGATGGAATAGTCGGTTTCAGAAGATACTTTTAAAGGAGGCTTTCATTAAATTTATGTTAGTTTTCACGGATTGACGACACAGAAAAGCTATAACACAATCGTCTGGAGCCACTGAGTTGTCTGATTTCCAAAAAAAGTGGCAGACCAACACACAACCCTTCTTCTTCTTCTCATATCGCCACATCATGCACCTACCATCCCCTAGCTTCTTCCAACCAGTTCGACGGCTAGTAAACAGGGAAGGATATGAAAGTCACTGGAACAATGTTGGTAGAATATGTCAAAGCCACCGGAGCTACTGTCACAAGATGAAACCTCATTACTGAATGGTCTTCATTCGATATGGTACTTCTACAAGATGCAAGCAATCTTTCGGAGACAAGTGGCCAAACAAGAAGTCATCGAACACCCTCAACTCGGAGAAGCTGTATTTCACAGAAGTAGAGAACTGATCACACCAAGGCGTTGCATACCCAATTTTTACAGCCAAGCTAAAAAGACGATTATGATTGCTGGTTCACCTTTCGAGAAATGGCGGGAAATCTTATCAGTCATACCTCCCTTAATACTCATATAAATACCCAAATAAACGAAATTTTCCACTACCCCCAAGGGTAAATGTAAGACTACCTATTGTAAAAGAACATTGCAAAACTTTGACGTGAAAGTTAAAGAGGTATTCGTATATGAGGAAGCTGTAACTAACCAGATTGCTGATATGAAATAGTGTAAACAAATATTTGCATGGCTTTATTCCACACGAGGTATAGGACACTGATAAACTCAAGGATACTCCTCTTTTAAGACAGAATTCTAGATTTCAGTCTTGCTTGATGAATCGAATGTAATTATACCACTATGGAATACAGCGACTCCTGGTTTCAAATAGGTATAGAAAGGGGGGATTCAAGCACCTAAGGAAGGCTGAAAGTATAATCTATACTTTGAAGAAATGGAGAAAATTCAGTATACTCCTCATAGATCGGCTTTTTCTGATAGCAGTGGGTATTTGCGTTGCAAATGTTAATAAACGAATATGTCGATAAGTTTCACAAATACCGCATGAACTCTTTAAACATGCTCTTTCTGAAGTGTCCTAATCTCCTTTCTCAAAATATCTAGTTAAGTGTCTGACTAATCCAGCTGATTAGAAGAGCTATATGATTATACTACTGGACGGCGTTGGTACAGATCTCTTAGAAATCAGTTTCGTTAAAGCTGGAGATACGCTCTGCTGATCAGTGCTAACAAGCACGAAATATCTAAGTCCAAACCTTCCTGCCTTACAACACTGAACACAAGGTGTGCATATTAACAATGTGTCATACAAGTCTCAGAAAAGTACAATATATTACTAGGCGGTAGTGAGACTTAGTAGTCACAAATAGAATCCATGGGAATTATTGATGTAACCGTGCAAATTAACCTACACGGTGGTTGCCACAATGATAGTTAGTCAAAGATGAATGAAATACAATTGAGATAAATAGATTATGTGAACAAATGTAGTACATAGATGCATTTTTATTGATTTAAGGAGTTAGTGAATTATATGCGAAATATTTCGGGTTAGTTAGTCCACATTCCATTGGAAGAAACAACTGACCAAAGATAATGGAAACATAATGATTTACTATATATATATTAGGACAACTGGGACAAGTCAATGTGCACCGGACAATCACTCCGGGTACGTGTGTGACCAGTTAGAAGGAACAAGAAAATGTCAACAACAGTGCTCATTGATGACTCGCCTCGAGATGAGATTCCCGAAGTTCCAATGAGCAGTAGTGACCTGTGGAATTATTCAAGTCGGATGTGAGGACAGTTACTCAACGACAGCATTGGATGACGGTCATGGTATATTGTGAACCGAACCATTGGACTCCGACCCAGTGGCTTAATGGTAAAATGCTAGCTACGGAACCAGAAGGTCCTGGGTTCGATCGGCCGTTGGGAGAGGGTTATGAGTACACACTAGTAAGGAGTCCCATATTAGAATGAAACAGCTGTCAGTGCTCCCAGGTTTTCAATGGTTCTCCACCTGATGTCAGTCCATGATGAATATCAGCCTGAAGTCAAATACATGAAAAACAGCATGGTTAGTTAAGGATTCAAGCTGTTACGCTTCATTCACACTGGAAGCGATGATAAAGACTATAAAAAGTAAGGTGATGAAATCATTTAGTGAAAAAATCTTCAAGAACTAGACTATATTAAGGGATGGGAGCATCTACAAAATTGTTATCAACAATCGATTTCAGGAACGTCAACCAATTAACCTGTAATCCCCCTAGATGGATTGCTGAAGTAGTAGTACTCTTGATATAATGATATATACTTGGATTTTATTTCTGACCCCTTTAAGGCGATAACACTGACGTCTGAAGTGATGGGTGTCAATGGACAGAAGAAAACTCACTAGGATGCAGCTATTTTCGGTTGAGACACTCATTAACCATCCTTGAACATGCGACATATATGGTAATGGTAATATACTATTTTCAGCAATTAACATAATACATACTGCTAGTCTGAAATGCTTGTCAATCACTTTCCCTTCATAATAAATGCATCATTACATACGTAAGCAAAGAGATTATCGAAATGTAATAGAAATTTAAATGAATAAAGAATATTCTTCTCGATAACTTCCTTTTCGGGTAGCCGAGTTGTGTACAGTCAGAAAAAGCCGGTGTTGGCGCTACAGACAAGTTGGGCTGATTCAGGATCCAAAAATCCCTAAGGATCTTGTCACATATAACCTAATTTCCAACTTTTACATTGTACACATCCCCCTCATCCTTAAAGCTGAAATAAATTTATCAGATTCTCTAACATTCTATCAAGTCACTTACTGTTCCTCAAATTATCTTTGTTTATCCAATTTTACATCCACCCTCTGACGCATTTCATTTCCCCTTCTACTTAGAATAGACTTTAATCGTCATCACGGAACTTAGTATGATTCATTTTCAGTTAATGGTGTTACATAAGTCGTATAATCATTTAGATAATCAACTATTTTGAGTTGAATTCCAGTAAAAACGGATTCTGACATTGTCGTTCACACATGACTGTTCTGAAGACAATTTCGCAACTCTTTCATGATGGGTTATACATACATTGTATCTACATGAATGGAAAAACCAGTTAGACGCTTAGAGACAAGGGATTATTATTTCTCTATCGAACCGTTGTTTCAAGCTATCTGCAATATGTTGGTATTCATCACGGGCTGACATCAGTTGGAAACTCGGGAGCATTAGACAACCGTTTCCTCTCAGTAGTGCGCACCCATAACCTCGCCACGTCAGGGACCTTCAGGTTACACGGTGAGCACATTTCTCCCCTTCGGTGCGTTTGCCGTTGTTGAGTACCTGTACTCTCTTGATTCTCCCCCTACCAGTCACAACTTTACGGGAGATCTGATCTCGAAGCTAGTCACTAATGAGCAGTGGACAGTAATTCAATTCGGAAGTTTGTGGGGATTTTATTGATTTCAAGTAGCAGTACTACTCACTGGCACACATATCAAATGGACACAACTTAAAACAGTAGAAACCAACAGAAACAACAATAATTGCAATAAAAAGCAGCACGGACACGTTAATTAAATAATCAGAGGTTATTTATTCATTCATTCATCCAACAGTAGTAACAACAAGAGAAAGAAGGAAACATGAGGAGAACAAGAAGTTGAAAACAGTTGAATCAAAAGAGAACTGTGTACTTAAAACATATCGACAATATAGTCACTGAAAACGGTTATATTTCAGCATCGTTTATTTTCAGAAGATTACACACAGAAAGAAACATTAGGAAAAGATGAAGAATAAATGAAATATAATAACACAAAAATATATAAATGTTGTCTCACTTTTGTTTTAATAGAATCAATCAACCGGAAAACAGGGAAATATTGTGTATGTATGTATGTCAGTTAGAATGAGGAGAAAGGGAGACAGACTGTAAGATAGAAACACAAAAATGTGTCTTATTTATTTCTGTACAGATAGGTAGATAATCGAACAAAGCATAACGAGATTCAGTGTTAATGTATGCATATATTAGTGTGAAAGCAGTTCAATGAATGAGGAAAGAAATCTCATCTTGTCTGAATATATCGTTTAGAATGATGTCATTAAATGTTTTGTCCTTTCTTTTTTTGAAGGAGTGTCAAATGAGATTGAAGAAGGCATGCGCATATGAAATCAAAAAGTGTAAATAATATTGTATGTGTATATATATGTGTGTGTGTATGTATAATTTGTACTCTTTATTTTATTGTGAAATAATAATGAGATTAAGTTATTTTCAAAACAAAACTTCATTATTTCACCTACATGAAAAGAATGAACACAATGTTGGAATACACAACAGACAGTATTATAGGCAATGCAAGCATAAAAACACACAAATGGCTAATGTGTGTATATGTATCTGATGATAATACTATGGAGTTCTAGAATCTCGTGTTCTGGTGAATTTAGGAGATGAAGGTCCAGTTGAAGGATGTTTATCCCTTTTTGCTGTATGAATAGTAGAGCTAGACGATGGTACATCTTCTGCTGTATATATTCGTAATGGTTGCTCACGAATTCTACTGCTAGTTGAAAATGAATAAGCAGTACTCGGTTCATGAGATTGAGGTAAATAAGGTCCACAGAATTGAGAATTACTTTTGTACATTTCACAACCACAACCACCACCACTTGATGAACTTGGTTCACATGAAAAAGTTACAGGATCCTCAGACCAAGTTGCATATTCACCATCCCAAACTGATTGAGGTACTGGAATACCTTGAGAACGCCAAGGTGATGTCATGGCTTCCAAACTAATTGAAGTGAAAAAAAAAGTCCAGACAGACCGTATTATCATGGAAAACTGTGATTACTAAACTAAATGTAACTCATGCTGCTACTTGTATTGGACGGAATTGATCGGTCTCTATTGGCATATGGGCTGCTGAGCGAATGTCTCGATATTGTCTGTGTTTAATTTTACATTAATGATGTATAGTGGCTAGCAGTTGAGTCCAGGACGGGCGTTTTGTCATACAAGTAACAACGTGAGAACTATACCTATCACGCAAGCAGTGTCTATCGTGACTCAATAGATAACACTCTGGTGTTCGATGCGATCGGTCTCGGGGCTCGAGTCCGAGTTATAACACTACGCCGCTGTGAGGCAGGCACATCCAGCTGACGAGTTCTAAATAGGAAGGAGCTGGTGTCCTGGATTCCGCTGCTAGACACTATCCATCATTAATATAAGTGCAACTCAACATGGTAAAAATATTTACTAGGATATAACACAGCGAAACTTGTTGTATATAAGCGGCTTATGATACCATTTAAGTAGTCACTTGAAAGTAGGTTCAGTGGAGTTCGCATTCAGAAATGGTTGCTCAAAAGTCGGTTGCCTAAGCCAATCAGCGATATCTCGACTAATCCAGGGTCCGAATGGAACATTTATATTTACCAATGTTTGAATAAAGAAAAACGATTAAGTTCCATACACATATATGCGCTAACTAGGTATGTCTATACTTCTCTTGTTGGCGACTGAATATAATTAGGTAGTTAAATGGGAGACTTATTTCAGCCAACTATTCGTTGATACTGGGTGATGATTGAAGGCGAAATGAAAATTTCGATCACGGCGGGATTCGAACTAGCGACCACTGGGTTTCCGGTACGATGTTCTGCCAACTGAGCTACGTGGTCCAACTGCTAACTAGATTTCTATTTCACTTCACCTTTGGTGATTGAAAAGAAATAAAAATTTAGTTGGCAATCGGACCTCGTAGCTCAGTTGGTAGAGCATAGGACCAGAAACCCGGTGGTCGCTGATTCGAACCCCGCTGCAGCTTTCAATGTTCCTCCAACCGATATCAGTCCATGATGAATAGCGGCTTGAAAATATTCTGTAATTAATCAACAGTAATTTTATAAACCAATAGAAAATTAGGAATCATCACCATGGTATAGTGTAACATCCTTTCGACTATCGGAAACATATGTTAGAATAGATTGCAAAATGGAGATGTGACTTATTCAACAATTTCATAGCTGAAACCCTACTCTACTTACTTCAACTACGGCAATCAACCCTGACATAATGAGTATCGCTCACAGTCTAGTAAAAAAGGACATTTGTAACAATGGACGAAAGAAACGAAACGCACACAGACGCCATGTACACATCTATGTAGTAGGCAATGAACCACAGGCAGTGTGAGCTCTGATGATACTACCTAGCTGCCAAAACCTTGGTAGGTGGAGCAGGGTTCGAACCCGTGACTCATTGGTTGAAAGTCATTTCTCTAAGTCAAGTAGCTACAGCTCCATCATTTATAACGAGGATGAAATGGATAATAAGTGTCAAAACTCACCGAGATATTTCACTTTGATTCATCTTTTGAAGTTCACTAGACTCAAGGGTTTTTGATTCTTCTTTAGTATCTCTAAAAAGAAAGGGTGGATAAAAGGCGACATATGTATAAAAAAACATCAGTCAAATGGATTGAAAGACATCACTTTTAGGAAGTGAAGACGTTATTTACCCATAGTCAAGGATATCATTCGTTACTAGTCGCGGTATGGATTCTTCCGTCAAGAATAGAGTACAAACGATTTATGTTTTCCAACTCCTGTTTGTTTGTAATGTAGCAAGATGACCTCTCTTAAACAATGTCTTCTAACAAGGGATCCATCCTTACATCCAATTTGGTTGATTACACAGGTTATAGTTTCACATTGGAACACTGGAAAGTCCATCTTGAAGTGAGTCACTAACGAGAATAGCCTTATCGTTCAACTAATCGGTTTGTAGAGAATTGATTGATTTCAGAGTAGCTTTCAGTACGAATAGGCATCAGCTGACGAAGCATTAGAAACCTGAAAGTACAAAGCAGATGTTTCAGAACTACACAGTTGTGCGTGCCATGACACTATGAAGAATCGAAGCAAAATAACTGCTCAGCACTTCCAGATATTTAACAGTTCTCCAGTTGATAACGATTCATGATAAAAACTACCCTGAAATCAACCAAGTACCAGAATACACAAAAATTTAGAACAATGAATTATAAAGAAATGTTTACCTGTGTACTCTACATCTATTGAGCAGTCTCATGTGAAAACCAAAGGGAGATATCCAGAAGCACGTCTACGCCAAAGTTAAGTCAGAATGTAGAAAGTGGACATCCTTGACGGACACCACTCACCTGATACTTCACCATAGGCTCCATGACACTCACGGGAGGTTAAACATAACCTTCAACGGAGTGATGTATTTACCCAGAACCTTTTTGAGTGATAGATACTGCCATAAAACCTCTTGATCGATGGAGTAAAATGCCGTTTTGAGGTCAAGAAATACAGCTAATGTCAGGCACCGACACCCAATCAGAAAGCCTCCTTATTTGCCCCATACATCTTAGGTGAATAGTAAAAGACTTTGTTGATTGCACTCACATCTTAGTGCGCTTACTTCTAGGTTTAGAAATACGGTGTTTTATTCTCTAAGCTGGGTGATTTAATCATAAGCCTTTCATTATCATTCCACGCAAAATCACTAGTAAGAACTTCAGAAAGAAGTAAGGTATCATGATATTGGCTAGAATGACCATGAAAACTTCACGATTAAACTAGCCTGTCTAGAGAATAAAACATCACCAAAAACTCTCAGTTTTCTTCTAACATAATCCTATTTCGACAAATATCGCTGTGTGTTGCACGCGCGCATCGTATGACTAAGGCTCATGACCTGATCAATTGACTTGGCTTTCTTGTCCACTAGTCGCTGCTGAATCTAAACATAGCTTACATGGTGGTTCTACTACATGTGTTCAATACTATGATGATGTCTATGGTCAGAAACCTGTAGCTTTCTCATATCTTCTACTTTCAGTAATCATATCTTTCAGCCGTACAATACAATAATGCAGTCTGTTGAGTAGTTAGTTAAGATACACTATCTGTTGGAGAGACACTTTAAAAACTAAGATATAAACTAGATGTAAGCATTAGTGTACATACCTGAAAAATACCATGTTTCCACTGGTGAATGATAATAAAGTATCTGGGTACTGGGAACAGGATAGCCATTGTAAACGGTTATTAGGGGACAAATGTTTAAAGAATGAATAGCACCAGGGAATTTATACTATTGAACAAAAAAACAAATGAGAGAAAGAAGAAAAGAGTATTTGTAAACACAATTTCCTGCATTGAAAAAATAATCAAAAATATACATAAGTAGAGATTGACAACCTTTTGACCGATTTGCGATTGACTAAACATGACAGGTTAGATATTGAAGAATCAGATCCCATCTGAAGTAAAAAAAAAACATCTTACATTCTAATTCGATATTTCTCCAGCGTAAAATTAGGCTTTTCTTAGCTAATACAGTTTTGTAATAAATATTCAAGTTGATCACTACTAGTGTGATAGTGATATTGATGTATTTCTAATCTAATTAGAGTAGCCACTTTTTTATGAGATACTAACATAAAACTAACACACTAAATCTATTCACTCGTTTCATGAAATTGGAGTTCTCACAAAGAGAAACAGAGAAAGTGTCCATTTAGTATGGACTTATATTATTTATTATTATTTTAACCTGGTTCCACGACTACCCACAACCTTTCATTTCTTCCTCACACTATCTCCTTCATGTCACCCTCACCTCGCACGCCCAACTTGTCGTTTCCCCTTTGGATTCCACTCCACGACCTGGCCTGACGCGTGATATACCCAATCGGCCTTCTCAGTGTATCCCCAATCCATCTCCACTTCCTTCCACTGCATATCTGTTGGATGATAGGTTCTTGCTTCGTTGGTTCGTTGCCAGCCAGCCAGCCAGTCAGAGTTCCTTGTTGCTTATTCTCATTATTCTGACCATCTGAACTTCAGCATCGAGTGAGCGTAGACAGTCGTTGATGAATATCTGTAGTTAGTTGGAAATGCTTTTCCTGACGCGCCAAGTTTCTCAACCATATAGCAGCACTGACTTGACTGACATTAGTGTTGAAAATCCGGATGTTGTTCACGCTTTATGCTGAGTGCAGTGCAGAAGATCTCCACATTGGTTTCAGGTTAATGAACGCCTGTCTTTCCGATCCTGGCTTTGACATCCTAATCTGTGCCGCCGCCGCCTGTAGTTGAAACAGTGCTGCCTAGATAGGTGAAAGAGACTGCTGCCTTTAGGTTTCTCCCGCTCATGGTGATTGGAGCTTGTTGTTGTTGGTGGTGGTTGGGTATCTTCATCACCTCTGTCTTTTCTATGTTCACCAGAAGTCCCATCTTCCTTCGCTGCCCTGCCCTGTCCTACCTCTTCTGTCAACTTGTTGGTTTTTGCCTGTAGCTCGTCGAGTTTGTGCGACAAGACATTAAACATAAATCATCATCACTGGCGAAATCCAAATCTTCTTTTGGGGTCTTTTCATCGATCAAACAGCGTATGCCCATATTCTCACAGCTCCTCACGGTTTGCTGAATGATCCAGTCGGCCACAATCAGGAAGATCATGGATGATCGTAGACAGCAACCTTGTCTTACTCCGATTTCCTGTCTTCACTCCAAAGGCGTCACTGAGCTTTCCATTGTGGATCACTTGGCGTGTGGCATCTTTATATGGCTGTTGAATGAGGTTGATAAAGATTTATAGTACTCCGTAGTGTTGAAGCAACTGCCAAATTACTTCTCGGTCGACGCCGTATGAACTTATATTAGTCAATGCACATGGTCTGTTAAGGAGAAAATAAGGCTGGTCAATCCCATTTATACGGTATGCCTAAACTTATAGAGATTACGCAACTCAGTAGTTTAAAGCATTTTCAAAATTGACTCAGAAATAGAGTGTGCAGTATTAGTGTTTTAGCTGTTCTCTTCTTTTCTACACAAAAGGCTAAAGGCGCTATAAACTAGGAACACTATATGAGGGTTTAAAAGAGTTGGCGATTTATTTGACTACCAGGTTTGTATGACATCTTATAGTGTACTGAAATTTCATCTTCTAGTTCAAAAACCATACGATTCATATGGTAACCAGTATCCAGAAGACTTTTGTGTTATCCAACACATCAATTTCACTGCTACTGACTAGAACAAAATCTGTTGAGCTGTGCACATTTTCCCTTGAAGGGGGGACATAATGATCTTTCTTTCCCCCACTTTTATGTGAAATTTATGCACTTCATAGAATGGCAACTCAACTCGATTCCCGCCAAACATTCAACAGTGACCACCTCTAAACCGTACTTATTGGATAATGTTTTGAGCACAGATCACTTCCTTTTTCTTCATTCAACAGAATTTTGTTAAAAAGAATTTTTCACCTGATACACAAGACGTAGAAAGTTTTTTTAATTTTCACAGAATACATGAAACTATAGCCCTTTGGCTTAGGAATGGTTTTTGAATCCACCTCGTCTATCTTAGACCGTGCAACCGAGCTAGTCTAATCTGTTAAATACTTCCAAAGGTAAGACTAATGCGTACCTTGATCTATAATGAGGAAAAATGATGCGTTTAAAAACTCTACGTTATTGAGTTCACATCTATAAAAGGAGCAGTTAAGAACGTAGCAGGTATATGTTCTCCAAGAAAAAACTGCAATCGCTGAAGAACACTGTTAAAGAGAAGGTGTAAAAGTGATTCTTCGATAATAATTAAGATCCACGAACACACACACACACATGAAACGAACAGTAACTCCAAACTGAACGACAATTCAATAATTTTACCTGAGCCACTTCTAAACGATCTGAACTCAATCCAGTATGCTGAACAAGCCATTTCACTAACATATCCCAGCGTGTACTTGTAACCGGATGATAGGTTAATATCAATTCATGCCAAGCATCAAATGAATAACTAGATGGATGCCATTGACGCAGGAATAGAGAACAGGTACGCGGTTTATTATTGTAACTTATCGGATTAGAAGTGTCTGAGTAATTATCGATAGCAGTAGAGACAATATTATGCGTATGCTTTTCACTAATCAACTGGAGCATTAAGCCTTGATGTTGATTAGTGAATGTTGTCAAAACATCAGTTTCGCTGAAGATTGGACCAGGTGTGAGATCGGGTAGGCCACATTTACGCAACCGTAGTCTGTAAAAAACAAAATTTCAGAGACAGAAAAGAAAAATTAAAATCCCTTTGCTGAAAAAAATAAATGAAGGGGACTGAAAATCCTTTCCAAATGCTTGATCAACTTAAACAATACGGTGCAACTTTGTTCATTCTTTCCTGTGAACAAATTGAACATTGAACGAATTTATAGAATTTACCAATCAATCACAATCAGTCAGATGACCAATCCAATCTCTAGTTCAACGAGGATATGCACATGCCTGCCACACACACACACTATTCAGAATACGATTATATTCGAAATAAAAAAAGCCATGATCGACAGAGGCTTTGTGTAGGCTGGTGAAAATTAGAATACTTCCAAGTATTACTTGAAATAGGAATAATACCAATAATAATAGTTCAGATTAACAGGGAAATAAAGTCAAACACTAAACAAAACGAAACGCACTCAGACACCCTTGTACACATTCGTGTAGGTGATGAGCTACACCTACTGTATGAAGGCTAGTGATACTATCTGTCTGTCTAAGCTTCACTAGGTGGGGTGGAGTTCGAACCCGCAACTTAATGGTTGATAGTCATCTCTTTAAACCACTGAGACACAGCTCTGCAGTTGCAAACCAACGAGTATACAGTATAGTATGTTGATTGAAATTTGATATTACTGTTTAATGGTCCAAGTTGCTACACCTCACCAAATGAAAAATGGAAGGCATATAGATGAAAGATATAAAAATAAAGGAAGAAGGTAGTTAAAAGTGATAGCAAGAAGAAGAAGTGAACGTGGAATGTAATTCAGAATGACGGTAATGAATGGATGCATCTACCACATCATCTAGAGCCTGAAAGCATTGATTTCAGTTTTCACGTGGATCACAGCTGGGAAGACTATATTTTCTTACATCAACAGTCAGAGACTCCATGATGTGATGTTATGTTTAGTCTAGTCACCTCTAACCCCTACCCAACCTATATATACACCAGCTTCAGCAAATAAACTTTTCTGAGTTAGCGATATAGTGAAACATCTACTGTTTGTCACCTGTAGGTATCTGACCTCACTTTCAACTTAACTGACTTTCATACGTGACAACTTCTAGTTATACAACTTTGGAAAAACTATCTCGATGTAAGTCACTTATGAGCATCAGATTAGGAGTCAAGTAGTGCCTTCCAGTAGTCCTTCGGCGAGTGCCACTCTACATCATAAAAGCTACTTTCAAATAAATCAATCCCCACAAAAACCCGTAATTGAATGAAAGATAGGCTGAAGACGAAATTAAACACAAGTAACAAGCTCGATGCAGACAAGCATTCTCTGTTAACATCACTGACTGACAAAATCAACTTAAAACTTCGCACATAGGTGTACCGGGTCAAGTTGTCACACTTCACAGTAGTCCACATAGAACAGGTGGATAGAAAAGGAATGATATCAAAGTCGATAGTGTTAGGGAATAAAGAATCTAATAAAACTTAGTGTAAATATTCAAGCTTTAGATGTCAAGGAATAAATATATTTGCACCATATAGTAACCGATTTTCAGCCATGTCATCAAGAGTCCCCAACCACTGACTCCTTTCATCTCGGGGACCCCAGTCAGGGACGACTTCATCGACTGGTGCCACGTCTTGGTTTGGTCACCCTGAACCGTCTACCAAACTAACCCTAGCTTCCTTTAGCATCGCACGTCGAGATAGGCCATACTATATCCAAATAAATTACAATCATTCACGTATACAGAATAAAAGATCAGCTATTGATACGTAGTACAAGTAAATCTGAGAGTAAGGTAAATAAGTATGAAATATCGACTAATCACTAACAAAAAAAGATACAAGATGAGATGTAAGTACTCATACACTCATCTATACAAGCATGTGAAAAAAGGCTGAAGCATTTAGACTATATAAATGTATATAACATGCTTTAATAAATGAGATAAATCTTACTGAGATAGAGGTATATTCAAGTTATGAATACGTTTGAAAACTGATGAAGCACATTTCAATAACTGTTCGACAGACCAACCCAAACGATATAATAAATTAATTTGATGTGACCATATAGGTGATGACCGCTTTAGATTAGTATGATTTAATTCATATGTAGCAGTGTCCATTGTTTGTTGTTGCTTTTCTCCATCTTCTTCTTTAGGCTCTCCTTCGAGATCAAGTACATAAAAGGATAAGTAAACTTCTTCCAGGCTAATACAAGGCGATAAGGAAATTCGAAGCTGTAGGAGAAATAAATTCAGAAGGAACACAGACAAGAGGCAGTGATTGAACAGATGTACATTATATACATAAAGGTTATAGATACATCTTACTAATGAGTGCCAACAAGTATGAAACCTCGATTCAGAGTATTCGACTGGTCGACTACTCTCACCACTTCAAAGCATAATACAGTGCACTGCAGTGTTGCATTAGTTCGGTTGGCGGCCATATTGCAAAACTTGATCGATAAACTTTGCTCAACGCTGAGCACCACCAAGGAATAGACAACTAGATCAATTACCTATTGGTGACTGATTCGTGTGCACTAATCCACTATCAGTAATGAAGAATGCAGGTTTAGATCACCGAAGGAACCATAAGTTCCGTCATGGCTGAAGATCCATCCTGATGATAAGTGCTAAGAAGCATGAGACCTAGGGTTCAGGGCTCCCTGTCGACTGAATCCCATCATATATATATATATATATATATATATATATATATATATATATATATATATGGATGCTCTGAACAGAATGTGAAATCATCATATATATATCCTGTTACTTAGCCTTCTTTACGTAAATCTATACGGGTGTGTAAGCATGGATCAGTATTTGTCTCCAAAGAACATAACGGATACTGTTCGGTGTGGAGGTTCACTACCTTCATTTCTTGTACTTCAAAACAGAGATGTTTCCCATTGATTGGCAAACACTTATTCCTCTTAGTAGGCTATTATCAGTAGAGTATACAGGAAAAAACAGTTTTGCTAGACAGAGAAACTAACAGTGTTATTTCTTGAATATGTATCTATCCTACCCTACCTCTTTGTCTATCTATTTCTCATGAATTCATGGAACAAAACAATGTTTTGAACTTGCCGCAATTGAGCTTGTTTCAAGTATTCCTATTCCCACTAATTATATGCATTAAGAGAGGTATAATAGAATGCCCGCAAACATCTACAGCTTACGTTCTTCAAAAACTAACTGTCTCCCAAAGTAGAAACTTAGGGAACTAGGCAGAGACATAAGTAGATCAAAATGCACAACAGTTAGTGGTTATGAACGCCAGTTTTGGGAAGTAGAGATTTCTTACACATAATCTCATATAATTCATATTGAGTCGAGGAAACTTGTAGAAGAATTAAAGCTGGGAAGGAAGTGCTATGAGAACCAAGTTGATGTGCAATTCATATCGCAAGCAATAATAAATTATATATATATATATATATATATATATATATATATATATATATATATATATATATATATATATATATATATATATATATATATATGCATCGATTCATAAGAATTATGCTACTGATGATGCTAAACAGTATGTACCACACGAAGCTTCAGACCTGGCTGTGAGCGTATCGACCAAATATTCCCACCCGGTCAAGTTCTAGGACACAGGCACACTAACCAACGCCCAACACTAGCTGTATTTCTCTACCTGAAGGCGCATTTGAATACGTCGATCGAGAAGTTTTATGGTAATGCCTCTCACTGAAAGGGGTATCGAGTCAGTAAATCCTCTTATTGAAGGCTCTTCACTCGAACACCTGTGGGAGTGTTAAAGCCTATGGCGGGGTGTCAGGTGAGCTGTGTACGTTGAGCGGTGTCCGTTAAGGATGCCTACTCTCACAATTCATATTCAATTTTATCATAGACATTTTTATGGATGTCTCCCTCTCGACATCTGACTACACAGAGATTGGTTGAATCACAGAACACACAGATGACATAGTCTTGTCAAGGTAAGAAGCGGATAAGATGCAGTCTTTTCAACATCATCAATATCAACATAGGACCAGGCATTACTGAGTAACGGTCCAACTTGCCACACCTCATATCAGTACATCAAGTAAAAAGGCTGTGAAGTGCAACATGAAGAAAAGAAAACTCAGTCAGAAGAAATACAAAGTACGGAAAGAGAGAAAGGAAGAATGAGAAAATAGTGAGGTTAGGTGTAGCGTCATTAGGATGAGGATAATGTATGTATACATCTGCATTACTGACATCGGTTCTGAGCCATACCATCACCTAGAGTCTCCAACCACTGGTTTCTCTTGTCCTGCAGACCCCAACCGGCTAGTCTACATCGCCCCATATGGTTCAAACCAACAGTCAAACACTTCACACATTGGTGTCATGTGTCAGACTAATACATGGCATCAATGCACGAAGTCGTTGACTGTTCGTTTGAGCTTTGTAAGGCGAAATAGACTAGTCGTTTTGGGTCCACAGGACGAGAGAAACCAGTGGTTGGAGAATGTAGGTGGTATATAGCTCAGAATCGATGTCAGTGACGCAAATGTATACATACATTTTCCTCATCTTAACCGTCATACCTAATCTCATCATCTCATTCTTCCTTTCTCTAATCTACTAGTTTCTACTTCATTTCGACCGATTTTTCTTCCCTTCTTCATCTCCCACTTTTATTGTGTTGTTACTTGATGTGCTGATATGAGATGTGGCAATCTGGACCATTACACAGTAATGCCTAGTACCATGTTGATTTTGATGATTATGATGACACGAAGCTGGTAAACAGACTAGTAATCATTAATGGTTTCATGATGACAATGAACGTCTTTCAAACTAAAATGAAGCATACCGATGGAAAATATTAAAAGTAATATAACTTCAATAACTTACTGAATCAGTTGAACTTAGAGTAGTGAAATCCTTTGAAATATATCCACCATCGGGTTCCACTGAGACCTGGAATGCAATTGATGATTTGAGTTAATAAAATCCTTAGTTTTAGAAGATATAAACAACTAATATTCCCGTAATATGAAGTCAGTAAGTGATAATAAAAATGTAACTCAGCAACCCACATGGATTTAAGTGCGCTGGGCAATAAATCGTATGTATCCAGTAAAGATTTACAATATAACGTAGATGGGTCGAGGTTCAAATCTATGACTTACAAACTTGAAAGGCAACTAACTACACAAAAAGGTCGTAGCTGCAACCAATGGGTCACACTAAAAGTTCACTATGTTCTTTGCGAAGAAATGACACCTTTCTAACAAAGTATGGAGAATAATAAGTTTGAAGATTTTTTTCATTGAAATAACATCAAGTTCTGAGTAAATTTTAGTATTTAGTATAGTTATTTATTACAGATTTAGAAAAAAGCGTAATGTGTCTAGAGTTCGAACCTCATTTTAGCTAAACAATTAGTTGGTCTCGTAATTCTTCATATAATAAGATTGTCTTATAGCCTTTCAGGCATATATATGCTATGTTAATGGGTTGCATGCCCTTATCATTTATAAGAGGTAAACACAAGAATTATCATTGATGATATAGGGATAGTGAAAAACAATAGGACAATTAAAGTGTCAACAATGCAGATGTCTACATAAAAGCAACTCTATTAGTTGGTCTACAATTTCACTTATTCACACATCGTATTACTTTCAATTAAATAAGCTAGATAATACGACCACCAACTAGTGGAATAAACACATTAATAATACATGATTAATTTATGGACTTACATTTAGGAATTCGGCATCCAAATTCAAGTATTCACCAGCTTTTTCTTTGAACTCTTCAACAGTTAAACGTGTATCTATATTCAATTGAATTATCTGCCATATAGGTGATGATAACTTAGCTGATACTCTGGAATCAGGTTTACAAAATTCCTCAAATTGACATAACCTAATATATATAGGGAAGAAAATGAGAGATAAAGCAGTTCAGAAGAAGAGGTAAAAATGACACACAAATGAAGATATCGATTCAGTTACGTAACAGAGAATATATACATCAGTTTAGTATAATTATGCTAAATAATCACCGGGTAGTTAACGGTGTAGTGTTCAGGAACTAAGTGAAAATAAATCCCATTGAACCAAGACTATAATTTTTAGCTTGTAGGTTTGTGGAGATTTTGTTGGTTTTAAGGTGATATTTCATTATATAGACTAATACTAGTTGAACTATTGAAAACACAGGATTTCAATAGTGCGCAACCATGACCCCGCCGGGATTCGAGTTCAAGTTGTCATTGATTCATTGTTTAAGATAGACTCCCTTAATTAGAAGTGAGAAGCCGTGATCTTTGGGAAGGAACCAAGTGGGATATGAGGACGAATACGCATCAATGGCATCGCATAACGACTGTGGTATATCGCGAATTGATAGAAGTCAGGAAATATGGACCATTGGATCTAAACCCAGTGGCTCAGTAATAGCGTGCTTACCATGAGATCTGAATGTCGTGAGTTCGATTCCTGGCAGGGTCGTGGGCATTCATTGCTAAGAAGTACACTACTAGGACGAAACAGCTGGCTTATGCTCCCAGATTTCTCAATGGTTCTCCAACTGAAGTCAGTCCATCATAAATAATACTTTGAAAGTATTTCTAGGTTTATAGAAGCGATTAGTTAGAAGTTATATTACCTTAAGGCTTAATGATTGTTTGTAGATAGTATCACAGTAAGATAATTTCATGGAGATTTACAATCTCTGCATGTTTATGGATAACATCATTACTACTAACTGTGAAATATCCAACAACCAAACATGAAATTATACACTTATACAGTTCCCAACTTTCAATCTCACATGAACATACAATTCACTTACACTATGAGTTAAACGTAAAAACTATTTGAACCTCACTCTTACAGGAACTGAATGAGTTCAGTCACCACAAAGTAAGCTTCATGGAAAACTGACAACAGATGTCTACATGATCAGGACAAATTGTTTACAGATGAGTGAATCCTACGATAACTAATAACAGGAATGTATTATTATTTGTTCCTTGGATTTCTAGTAGGACATAGGGCTTCTGTAGCACGTTGCCACTTCACTTCTTCCTCACATCATCTCCTCCATGTCAACCTCGCCTTGGACGCCCAACTCGTCGTTTCCCATGCGAGTTTCACCCGAGGACCTGGCCTGGCACGTGATGACCCCAAATGGTCTTCTCAGTGTATGACCAATCCATCTCCACTTTCTTCTGCATATTTATAGGGCTGGTTCATTGCCAGCCAGCCAGAGTTCTTTGTTACTTATTCTTTTTGGCCTTCTCATCTGATCTTCAGTATCGAGAGTAGGCGGTAGTTTGTTGGAAATACTTTTCGTAACGGGCTAAGTCTCTGAGCCATCATATAGAAGCACTGACTTGACTGGTATTAGTGTTGAAAATCCGGATGTTGTTCATGCTTTATGCTGAGTGCAAGGGAGTAGAGTACAGTAGATCGCCATACTGATTTCAGATTGATGAAGGCCTGTTTTGTTTTTCCGATTCTGGCTTCGAAATGCTCAGGAATGTAAAAAATAGTAAAACATTAAATGCTGCTATCTAGATTTTCAGGAGTTGAAAATTTTCTTGAACATTTTGTGTACTGTCAGAAGTACTACTAATGTTTCTTCCAACTGCCAAAACAACTTAAACTGATTTCAAAGGCATTCATCTGATAGAATTCGTGCTTTTTCTGCAGTGAAACACTGAATAAAGTGTGAGAAACAGTCTAGGACTTCATAATATTGGTTAGTAATGAAATAAATAGACGAAAAAGTTGGTAATCTGGCAAGTGAATGCAGTCATATGGAGACAATACCTGCATTAATGCCTACCAACAACACATATTCGAAAGAGTAGTTTATGCGAACCTGCTTGATAAGGATAAAAAAAAACAACTAGAAAACGATATATAACTACTTCGTTTTGGTTTGGAGTCTTCAAACAATGCACCATTGACGCTATATGTGTAATCAAACTTAACGGTATTCGATCTTATGGTGAGGAACATTATATGTTAGCTACTTTCATATTTCACTCAATTTGTAATATACTTGCAATCTTCAACCGATGATCTGGGCACTCCCCGATTTTGAATGCGTTTATATGACGTGACAACAGATGTCTTGAAACAGTTACCTAAATATATATATATATATATATATATATATATATATATATATATATATATATATATCAACAAACATCACTACATAGTAATAAATCAAGGATAAAAGCAGAAATGTCAATGTGAATAGCTCACCGTTGACTAGTATTCAATTCATTAAATGTAGTATTACTTTCCATAGGAATATCATTCGATTGAAGATATGATAATGAAGGATGATGCTCAGATATATTATCCACATCCATAGCTACTAAACTTGCGTTCAATTTAATACTTTTTGATTGTAATATTGGTGAAGAAATACATGCAGAAGATAAAGGTTCAGTGAATGGACTTAAACTCGGTTGTGAATTACTACGTCTTAATATATTTAAATTTTCAGCTGATACTTTATTAAATGATGAAGAACATGATGATGATGATGAAACTGATTTTTCACTAGGTAAACTACCATATTGTGCATTGATTGAACAACGGGAATCAGGTGGGCTCATACTGTTTACACTGCCATCAAATTGATTTTTTGATGAAATACCATTATCTAAATGAATGGGAGAAAAAAATCAAGAGTAACATTGAAGAATTTTTTTTTAATTAACTTTACAAATTTTCAACAAAACAGCTTAATTCTTTTAAACCCTATTTCCCCTATATAAAGTACGAATGTATGATAGAATGTACTAGTATGAGAAACGACTGACAAACACTGAGACACAGTACACAATGTATATCATAACATTTTGTACAGTGTTGATGAAATATTGTACACCTCCCATTAAAATCGTCATTTGCACAATGTGTTTCACTGCCTCTCCTTCTTCTATTTTGATTTGCTCTTCATATGCCCACATTGTCTCTTACATTTCTCTGGGCAGAATATTCACCCATCACTCGTAATTGCCAACGACTGCTACCGATCTCTCAACATATACTACTTATATCCATTCTTATCAGTAGCACCCACTACACTAACTGATGAGTTAGTCATACTGATGATTTTTGTTAGTGCTATTAGTTTACGTGTAATCTTAGTAGGCAATGGGTATCAAGTAGGTGCATTATATAGGATAAACTTATTTTCAGTGTTTCTATTATGCTGTAACCATCGACGTAGTTGACCTCACTATCTACAAATTGATTACTCTCTTTGTACCGGTTCATAACACAGAAACTACACTATGTGTGACTGGATTGGGCACTTCAATAGAAGTAAACACGCATGTGAAATTACTGAATTGTATGATCCTTGTCATATCAATCAAGAAGTATTGATGGATAGCAAAATATTTGGAGGAGAAAACCCCCCAAACAACATAAGTGTTTCGTGACAAGATCCATGTGATTCCTTCTCAGGTCGTTATTTCCTAACCCTTCTCCTTAAAATCTTTATAATGTTATATTATTGTGTGTGTCATGTCTAGTGGGTGCCTCGAATAATAATAATAATAATAATAATAATAATAATACAGCCGCTATCATCAATGAGAATGAGATATAATTATTGAAGTCAGGTGACATAGCTGGTCTACAAGCAGTTGATTCAGAATAGGACAGTAACGTAAAACAGGAGCAAAAGAACCATTATCTCTGTACAGCTGAAGGAATATAAAGGATTTAGGTATATTTGACAAAGTTATGAGCAAGTAACAAGATTTGTAATGCGCGCTTCGAACACCCCATCACCAGATACTTCAAAGCGCTCCGTTGAATGGAATACAAGTTAAGGAAGAAAAAGGAAATGGTGTTCAGAAGAAGACATGAACCATGAGATAACACTGAGGAGACAAAATCACACAATTTAAAAACTAGTCATTATCTTAACGGCGATCTGTTGAGTCACAGTTCTGTTGATTTCTAGCTGCTTTATTCGACACGTGGTGAGGATGTTCAGTTCACAAAGAAGACTAATTGCTAATGCTGCAAAATTTACCTTACAGATTTTGGGTTTTACCGTGTTTTTTAACTATCCATAAATAGGAAGCTTTTGTCAATTCAATTTGCTTGCTGTAAAGGTATGGTGTGACTGAAACCTGTATGTGTAGTCAGAAATAACTGTTGTGCTGTCTAGCTGGTTGCCTACTAGATTATATACTCGACCTAGCTTCATGACCTTGACGCTATGGAATCCCACTGTGACTCAGATTTAAGAAATGGAACGTTACTGAGAAAAATATGATCAAGGTAAAATAATTCTAACCTGACCTTCATGTGACATAGTCGATTGAGTGTAATACGAAGAATGGGAGGTCAATTTGCTAACCATTAACAAATTACATGCTCTAATATTGTTGTTGTTTGTATTATCCCGTCGTTGAGTGGACCAAAGTGACCGGTCTCTATTGGCATATGGGCTCCTATACCGATGCCTCGATACTGCCTGTCTGAACTATATATTAATGATGGATAGTAGCTAGCAGTGGAATCCAGGATGCGCATTTCGTCCTCTTCGGGACTCGTCAGCCGGGTGTACTTGCCTTCCAGTGAGCGATTTTGTTCCCAGTGGGGCTCGAACTCGGGACCATTAGAGCAGTGAGCCACGATACCGGCAGAATAAGAAGTGGCTATCGCGGATTGATGGTCTAGAGGGTAAATGACCAGTCCCGAGTTCGAACCCAGTGGGGGCAACACCACTCACTGGGAGGCACGTACACCCAGCTGACGAGTCCGTAATAGAATGAAACGCACGTCATGGATTCCACTCGTAGCCATTATCCACGATTAACAAATGACACGTTCGACGTTGACATTTCTGACAAAATGGTTGTTCGGTGTTTAGATAACTTTGATTTGGATAAAGAAATCTGAAGATCAGTGTAGGTAGTTCTTAACTATTTATTTTGTGTATGAAGAATAATAAGCAAACGATAAACTACAACTAGATGTAAGAGTGTAATCTTATCCTCTAAAATAATACTTCAAGCGCATACGAACGGCTACACTGCTCGATCTTAAAACGTACTCGGCAACTTTGTGCACATTTGGGCAGTAGGCAATGAACCAAATTTATTGTGTGGTGGATAATGATACTATTCCACCTCAGTAGGTGGGGTGGGGTTCGAACCCGTGACTCACTGGTTGAAAGCCGACCAATGAGCCACAGCTCCCAGTTTTATCACGCAAATAATTAGTATTCTTTAGTTGCGCTAACTGCCTCAAGTGAAGTCTTCATTATAGTGTCAGCTGAAGGCGGAGGTTATTATCCATTAATTCATACAACCAGAGTTTAGTGTGACTCACAGTCTATACCTAATATTAGAAAACTCTTGTCTGTTTACGAAAAGTAAGCTGAAGAGAACTTCAAACTTTACTGAAACAGAACAGGGAAAAATTAAGCTCAGTGGACATATATGATAAATTTGGTTAACTACTGAACAGCTTATTATCCTGATGATATACACTTAGCAGTCAAGTGGTACAACTTTATGTACGAGAGGTTGTAACATACCGGCCTAGGAAGTTTATTTTCAGCCAGTGAGTCGCAGGTGTGCATCCCGTTTCACCTACCCAGATTTTGTCAGTCAGGTAGTATCACTAGGTTTCACACAATAGGTGTTGCTCACTGACCACTGCATGAATGTGCACAAGGTTTCTAAGTGGACATCATGTTTTCTGAAATTACTAGGTTTCACAAGTTGAAATAAATGGATCGGAGTTTGAACTAAGGGTATATTGTCTGAAAGGTGATTGTGGAAACCAGTTATGATGAGATGATGATAAATGTGGATCTCTAGTTTTGGCTTTCCTTGTTTCCCTTTCTTGAGTTTTCGTATACTGCTAGTGATATCACTCAATTGTTTCGCTCCTTGATTTCCACTTTCTTTTATATTTATCTACTTGAAGCGTCATCAGTTCAACCTGATGTGGATATGTGGGCCAGCGGTTTAAAGAGATGACTAACAACTAGTCACAGTTATGGGTTCGCACTCCGCTCGATTTACCGAGGTTTGGGGAGCCAGGTAGTATCACTAGGTTTCACACACAATAGGTGTGGTTAATTGCCTACAGTACAAATATGCGTAAGGTGGTTAAGTATGCTTATTGGAACTTCGACTGATAAACAGCTGTACATCCTTATCTTTGTCTGTCTCTATCTCTTCCTATATGATACTGATTGGGTTGTATGTTGTAGAGCCCTAATGTTTTTCCCATAAGCATATTTCAACACTATAAAAGTATAATTTATTTTGTATAGTGTGAATTTTGTCACAAATGAAAATATTCTAACGAATCAGAAGGACTTTTAAAAAGTCTTGACCAATAAGAGAGCAAGATCATATCATTAAGGTTCTGAAGGTCAAACAATTATCATATCATATTTTGACAAGGTTCACGTCTAGACATGAATATATGTATAATGAATAGCAATTCAATAAAGTAAATATAATCATCAGTCATCCAGGGATAAGACAATAATAATCAATAAACAACAAAAACACAAGTCCGTCAATTCCTCAATTATACAGAATAATATACACCTTACCTAATGATCCGGATGACTTCATTGAAGAAATCGGAGGAGAACCGATAGCCTCATGTTTATTACTATTCGGTACAGTGACATTATACAGACTTTGTGGAGTCGACATACTTGAATCGAGAAACTGTGTACTATCATCACCCAGTGAACCTTTTATCAAAAGTTCTCGTTGAACAAGAAATGATGCAACTAATTGGGAGAAAACAAAGATTATATGTAAAGTATGCTTTAACAGAAATCTACTACTAAAAATAGTAATATGGATAGGAAAATTATTGATCCTTGAAGCAGTTTTCGATTTCTTCCTTATTATTTTTTGAAACAAAAAAGACAATAAAAGCAATATCACCTGATGCAAAACAGTTTGTGATAAAGAGTAAAAATGAGAAAAGAGGAAAATGCTATCATCGATTTTTCTTATGGTTACTTTTTTCGTGACAATTTTATGTTTAGTGTGAAAAGGTGTCTAAGACTATAAAATTAGTTTCTTGAAAAAGAAGAAATGATTGAGGAATTCGTATTGAATACTAACTAGCTATCGACTCTGTTATCATACACACAAATGCTGAATAGTACAGAATGACTACACATTGGTTAAGTGAGAAAACAAACATAAGTACTGGATGTATATGTTTCAGCAACACAATATGTATCCACAGCCAATGATTCTAGACGTTTTAGCTGGTAACAACCATTGGATGAATTGATGTAGCAGGTAGAAATCTAACAACTGAAGCTCGCACTTTGAAACTGAGAGTTAGTAGATTGAAGATGCTGTTTCTTGAACCCGAATCTCTAATATGGATCGTCTGGATGAAGGAAGTCGAGAAGAGGACAGAGTTAGTGGCAACAAGAGATAAGAATAACTAAAGAGGCAATAGAGAAAAAGATTGGTGATCTTCATACAAGATTTAAAGTCTTAGTTTCATAGAGTGTTTGCATTTTCTAGCTGTTAGAACAAACGAAGGTTGATTCTTTTTGAGGTACTTGAAAACGGGACTGGACTAGTCATATACAACCACAGAAGAAATTAGACATTTGTTTGAGACCAGTGATTCCCGAATGTTGTGCAGATGCATCCGTTCTCTAAAGAACCATATAGATGAGGACAGAAACCTAGAAGGCAGGATAAAACGTACAATTTTAAGGATTGACAGTTTTTAATTTCTCATTAGAGTGGGAAAGCGGTACAGCTGGAATCCTGACTGTCACATTAGCGTTCAGTCACAAAACTTCATCTTCAGACCTCGATCACTTTGTAGATTATTTACACTATGATGATATTTGCTGCTAGTTTTATCAGTATCTAACGACTATTCAAAGTGTGGCACTTAGGAGCAAACATTACATACAGTAGAACTCGGTCCGGTAGGTAATGTCAACTTTTATCAGGATAGAGCAGCGAGATTGAATTGAAGACTGGATACACATTATTTTCAAAATGAAGTCGAAAAACGTTTTGATGGTTACCACCAATTGTGAATACCTGTGAGAATATGAGAATACCACCCATGCATCCACCCGTTTCACTCTCTTGTCCGACGGTGATGGTACTAGCTAGACATGACTCCTACATCAATACGAAGTTAATTCGAGGAGACTCAAAAATATTTGCATAACTGTATAAACAATACATTGTTCAAACTGTAAACATAGGGCATATAAGCAACGATTATTAACAGATGTCATCATGCAGCACCATGTTCTTCACTGAACCCGTAATAACCGTTTCAACAAGGAGAAGATGAGGAAATTTACAGTAAGTAATATTTTATTCATCAAAGGAATTCAGTTCACACTTCTGTGTCTGCATATAACAGTAATCATAACATTAAGAACATGACCAAGTTAAGATATCATATATGTTAAAGGTAATCCAGAGTTTTAGTCAGTAAAGCCTATTGGCCAATTTTTGATGGAATCTAATAGTTGAATTGAGATACGCCTAATAGTGACCAATATGTCTCTACGAGTCAAATAGATGATAAGTTTAGGTAATGTGAGTGCTATTCAAATTTATCATTATACGGTAGTAACGACTGTGCTGTCTTGGAACACGAATATTCACATATGATTCTACTCTTGGAAATCAAGAAATCAAGTCTCCTAATCTAAGATCCTGGTAGCATCATAAGGGTAATTAAGCACCAAAATAACACCAATCAATTGATAAATTACATAGGATGTAAAAGAAACTTCTATTAATTTTAATGCAGAATTAAATAAATAATTTGAAAAAAAAGTAAATAAATTAAAACTTACTTTCTGTTTGACTGGGAATTATAAGAGGGAATATCATGTAATAAAGACGTTTTTCAGTCAGTGAACATATTTTACGCAATCGCCAATTTATATCTTTATCCGAGGGAATAGTAACATTTTCTGTGACAAACACGTTATTCGATAATTGCCATCTACCTCGTTTACCGCCAACATCACGCCCATTATGAGATATTTCTGTTGAATTGTTCGAATTCGAGATAAGAGTAGATGAATTTGAAGTGTTTAAAACATTCGATTCTGAACAATCATGTGATTCATCACAGTATCCATCATATAAACGGCCTAAATCCACATACAAATTAACTGAGCCACCGGTGATACTGGTAAAAGATTTGCCATAGATACCATTGAAGTGGTTTGAAAAGTTTATAACTGAATCAAAACTATAATCAATTATTGTATTCCACGGGAAGGAATGATCTCCAGAGTACAGAACTACAGCCCATTGAGGTAAACCATATACTTCATTTTGCTGAGAAAGTAAAGATAATGGCTCTATCTGCCAATGACAAGATGATTGATCCAAAATAAGTTTTAAACCATCAGCTGGTCCAGTTTTAAGATCATCATCGCTTAGAATTTTCCCTGTGTATAGCTGGAAAAAAAAATATATTGACTTGGAAAATGTATGCCAAAAAGAATTAGGCTGATAAAAACTGTAGAAAACACATTTTCAGAGGCTAGAATTTGACAGTATCTGTGCCCTTTAAGCTTGATTACAGTGTACACTATACATATATCAAAATTGCATACCTGATAGCTTAAACATTTGAAGGATGGATCTGGACTACTGATTTCGATTTCCAACAGTTATTATATATGGTTTACTTTTGTGAAGCCAAAACCTTTTTTTTTAAATGATGAAAAGCCATTAAAACTTCGGAGATATACTTGACTATACTTACTGATCAAAATAGATGACGAATTTAAGGTGTGATAAAAGCCATAAGAGCTTCACAGTCTGAATTGACCGGTTCAACTTCCCTACCCATCCGTTTCAGGCTTAAACCCTATTCCGTCTACTTAGATCTTGGCAGTCAGTTAGTACCATAAACTCTAATACAACGTGACTTATGGTATGATAATGTACTAGTTTGAATTGTATGAATTCATTCATACCCTCTCCATCTACCAGATTACTCTGAACTTAAATATTGTATAAGCAATGATTTCATAACAACCTATAGCAGAACAGAACATATTTGCATTGAGTGAAATCATGCATGTAGAAGGTATCGAAGCTTGACACAGTTGCTAGTCGATAAATGCTGTAAAACTAGATGAGAGTGGAGAGGGGCAGGTGAAAAATTGTTTGCACAAACATCTAATCAGTATACCATTGAATAGGCTTAAAACCCAACATATTATCTCATTGATATTTTCTCCTAAGCATGATTAATAGAAAATTTCCAAAAAAGGACTTCCTTTCAATCTTATGATTCGACAAAGCAGACGACGTAGTATCATCTTGAAGAAAAAAAACTGCCAAATACATTTGAATTTCAACCAGTACCTGCCAGTTTCATCATCAGTGATGGACCACTACGCCAGAAACTTTTTTGTAGGAATAACTGTTTCTAACCGCCTTGTAACTTCACTGGAGTCAAACTATCACTATTTAGTCGCAAAGTAAATAAACACAAAAGACCAAATAACTGATGCTCAGATAAGTCAAAGCAAGTAAATCTCACTCTCTCAAAACAACCATGTATAGATTCGTAAAGAAGACAATGACCCATTCTTATTGTCTGAAGGCTGATGATACTATCTGGAAGACTACACTTGGATCGGTGGATAGCTGAAACACTACGAAGACATAAAGCGATGGGATGCTGATAAAAAGAATAATACAGTAATAATATAATAATTGGAAGGGCATTTCAGTAAGGTACATTCGAGACGAAACATCCATTACTTTTCAGCAGCAGAAGATATAAGGAAGCTACAGCATGAACCCCACCGATTTTCATTCTGAATCATATCTGATAACGTCTAAAGCCACTGAGTTGCGTGATCTCTCAGACCCCACCTAGAGAGTCGTGATGAACCAACAGATGCTAATCCGATACAACTATCCTTCGTCCCACGGGGCCACGTCATTCACTCATCACCCCTCTGCCTCTTCTATCCAATCCCAGGATTAGCAAACAATGAACGGTATGGAAGCCGTTGGGAAAACATGCGTAACGCATGTCCAAGCCACAGAAGTTGGTGTTTTTAGATGATTACTTATTGAATGACGCTCTCCACCATGCTCTAACACACGTTGTCGTACCCCAGAATTACTTACATGGTGTTGCCACCGGATAAGAGCAATCCTACAGAGACAACGGTGATCAAACAAGCAGAGTCGTTGTATATCCTCAGCTCCGAGAGACCAGGTTTCACTAGTGTAGGGCAGAACTGCCCGTACCAAAGCGTTGCAAACCCGACCTATTATGGTTAGACTGACGTCACGACGGTACCAAAGGTTGCCCACACTGACCTACGCCACTATGGTTTTCGATATACAGTTGGAAATTTCACCGCTCACACAACTACCCAGACACACGAACTTTTCGACAACTTCCAACGACTCACCACCAAGGGTGAGCGCAGGCACAGGCTCCTGTCAATCTTGCAAGAATACTTTGCACTTTAATGGTGCAAAGCACATACCATACTTACGGACACTCATCCCACTCGTTAACTCTGACATAATGGGCGTGCTTCATAGCCTAGTGCACATAAGGTTGTACATGGTTGCTGAATTGTACAATTGCTCAGTGCACCTTAACTGGTATTACGTGACAGAGATGCACTCCACATGAACTGACTGTAATCGTAGTGTACACAACCGATACACCATGTTAACTTTACATTATGAATGATGAGCTGGTGGTTTAAAACTAATGGAAATTATTGGCCACACAGAGGAAAATTTGCTAAAATACACAAGACTTAATTCAGGAAATAACACAGAGAAAGAAGCGTGAAAAGGTAAGGGGATTGTACTAGAATTCCGGTGTCCTATGTTCGGAGTGAATCAATAGGAAATTCTGCTTGACTTAGGATTCCAGTTTCTTGACGCTCATCAGCGAAGAGCATCCACAACTCTGGAGAAACTCAAACCAGTGTCAGTATTGATGTCAGAGACCATATAACTAAGCTGTTCAGATCATGACTAGGGTCGACTGCATACGAATTGGTTATCGGATGGGAATCGATGTAGCTATTAGGTTCTTTGTCCTAATTGAAGTCTATGGATCAAGTTTATAACATAACAACCAAAGCTGAGTGATATAACAATGGGGTGCGTGTAAAACTTGACGGTTACACAGGTCACTATGTGGTGACAGGTGAATGATTTGTACAAGTTGCATGGGCTATCCCTGCCTACGTTGTTTTTGTTAACCTTTAGTCCTAACAATCTGCTTTTTGTGCCTAGGATCCTTAGAGCCAGCACACCGACATTTGCTATACAGAAAACTCATCGTGTCTTCCTGACCCTTATGCAGATTGTGATTGGCTAACTTTATCTCGCCGATTAATTGGTGCAATATTGTTTCTTTTTCAACTGGTTAGTTAGCTCATTGAAGGAGGGACCTCCTAATTTTGACTGTACATTACTAGGATAACGCTCACTTGGACCTTTTTGATTCCAACTTGCAATTGATTCGTCGATTTCCGTCTCCGTGGACGTAAAAAGGTGGCATTTATTATTATTTTGATTGTAAGCCCCCAGGATGCAGAAGGCCTATTTGGCATTTGCCAACTTGTCACTTTTCAAAGGATGACCATACAGCGCTGTAGTCCTTTCAGTCCTACTGTGCAGCTGAGACACGGTCGCTAAAAGTAGAAGATATGAAGCGGTAAGAGGCTTTTGACTACACATACCTTGGGATCACTGATGGTGTATGGTGAAATCACCATATGAACAATGTCGAGACCAGGTGAAGGCTAATAGGCAAGTCAGTTGATGAGGTTGTGGATCTTTAGCGAATAAGGTGGTTTGGACATGTACTGCGCATGCCAAGCCACTACATACCCTGACGTACAGTGCTAGCAGAAGTAGGATTGGGTCCGAAGACGACTCAGGGTGGTCAGACCAAGGTGAGGCACCAGTTCACAAAGTCTCGGACTTTTTGTCTCAGTCATGTAGGGAGGTGTAGATTGTGACTGAGGTCCGCGAGACGATAGGAATCAGTGGTTGAAGACTCTTGGTGACACAGTTGAAAATCGGTCACAATGGTGCAGATATATTCACTCTTTGACGTCTAAAACTTGAACATTATCATCAATCTTCATTTCTGAAAGTCTTTCTCTGTTCATGTACTTCTGGTCACTTTGATTTCACTCCTTCTCGATATACTTGTTCTTTGCATACTTTTGTGAAGTACAGAAATTTAGATCGATGAACTCCTGTGCGAAGTTTTACGTTGTTTTTGTTTGTTTATCTGGTTATAATCCTTATCTACAGAACAGCCTAGGCAATGAACATAATTACTTCTGATTTGAAATCTGTGATTTCATGTGTCCCTTTGCCCATTGCCTGGGGGGTATGACAATCACCATTTTAAGTCTAACAGAAGTAGGTGTCTTAATAAGTGTGATTTTAATTCAACAAGCAAGTTAACCTAAACAACTCGAAAAAAATAAAAAAGAGTTCTTCACAAGTGTAACTATCGTTTTCCAATAATTTTCCAATCAGCGACAATGTGCAATATTAATGCAATAGATAGCAAGCCACACTTATCAAGTGACGGCCAATGATACTATCTACCTGCCCAAATCTAGGTAGCTGGAGCGAGGTCACATACATGTGTATACCAGTTTACTTGCTCCTATGGAACTGATTATATCGGTCGTACCATGCATCCGCTTGTAAAACATGACCGCAACCGCTACCCAGCCCACTTGGCAAAGGGAGAACGGGAATGTATCTTCAGCTCAATAATAGAACACCTAGTGAAATCAGGCCACTTAACTCCTTTTGAGAGCTTATTCAAAATCCTCTACAGCGTTTGATCAAACCACTCGAAGCGAGTAGGATCAAGGCATTTGGCTACAGCTGAAGCACTAGCCAACCAGAAGTTCAAACCAGCGTTATGTGTCCAAAAAGGATATGCCCAATCTTTATCTTTGCAATGGCCATCATGAGACATTGGCTGTCATAGATTCATCCTTCATTGGGTAACTATGCATGTATTTTTATAACCCCTTGTTCATTTCCCTACTCTACCATAGATTTGTCCTGTATTACATAATGATATTTATTTCCATAATCCCTTGTCGATTTTCCCCCTCTAAACTCGAACGTGTATTAGCTTCCCTCAGTTCTATACATTGTAACATGTATTCACGAATGTACAGCTCAGTAAGTGGCTTGATCTAAAAAAAATTTCTTTGCTGTAACCGAGTCTTGCCTTTTCCTATGATCAAATTGGTGTATTCCGCTGTGTAATTTTAATTGGGTAGACAACTTAACCTTAACAAATGGAACGAAATAAAAAAGAGTTCTTCACAATTGTAACTACTATTGTCCAATAATTTTCCAGTCAGCAACAATGTGCAACTTCATCGACTTTGAAAAGGCCTTCGACAGCATTGACCGAGAAGTAATTTGGCAGTTGCTTCAACACTATGGAATACCAAAAACCTTTATCAACTTCATTCAACAACTATATGAAGATGCCATATGCCAGTTATTCCTAATTGTAATGGACTAGATCATGCAACAAACAGTAGGCAGCGAGAAGAGGGGGATACGCTGGCTGGACTGCGGAAAAGAACCTAGAAGATTTGGATTTAGCCGATGACTTGTGCCTGATGTCACATAAACTTGAAGATCTACAGGCAAAAACTAACAAGTTGATAGAAGAGGCAGCGAAGACGGGACTTCAGGTGAATATAGAGGAGACAGAAGTAATGAAGATACCTCACCACTACCACCACCAACAAACTCCAATCACCATCAACGGGAGAAACTTAAAGGAAGTAACCTCCTTCACTTATCTAGGAAGCACTGTTTCAACTACAGGCGGGACAGACGAGGACGTCAAAGTCAGAATCGGAAAAGCAAGACAGGCGTTCATTAGCCTGAAAACAGTGTGGAGATCTTCTGCACTCAGCATGTGGAACAAGATCCAGATTTTCAACACCAATGTCAAGTCAGTGCTTCTATGTGATGGTTGAGAGACTTAGCGCTTCATGAAAGGCATTTCCAACAAATTACAGACATTCACCAACAACTGTGTACGCTGGCTCGATACTGAAGATCAGATGGCCAGAAAGAATCAACAACAAGGAACTCTGGCAACGAACCATCCAAGAACCTATCGCTCGACAAATATGCACTGGAAGGAAGTGGAGATGGATTGGGCATACACTGAGAAGACCGATTGGGGACATCACGCTCCAGGCCAGGCCCTCGAGTGAACCCAGATGGGAAGCGACGAGTTGGGCGTCCGAGGCGAGGGTGACATGGAGGAGATCGTGCGAGGAAGAAATGAAAGGTTGTGGGCAGTCGTGGCGACAGGTTCAAAAGACTGCAGAGAACAGAGTGCACTGAAGACGCGTTACTGAAGCCCTATGTTCCATTAGGAACCCAAGAAATAAATAAATAAATAAATAAATAAATAAATAAATAAATAAATAAATAAATAAATAAATAATAATAATAATAATAATAATAATAATAGGAGGTTTGGATCCATGGCCCACTGTGATTGGAAGTAGAATGCCTCGACCGACGAGTTACAGGTACAATCAATTACCGACTTCTATACACCAAATTATATATAACGAAATAATATGAAGGACGTATTGGTATGCATTACACTTACCTGCCAAACTTCTGAAATTAACTCCTTTATAGTGCCAGAGAATGACATCCAAATTTTTTCGGATGGATAAATTAAATCAGAGGACAAATCAACGCGATTTACTTTGAAAGTAATGCCTAAAAGCAACAACAACAACAATAGTAAACACAATATGCGAAACCCCTTTGATTAATTAAATAGAAACTAGAAAACTATTTTTTGGAAATATAATGATATCAAGAACCATCGTTTTTAAGAGTAGTAATGAAGATAATAAAGATTTTTTGAAACATTATACACGAGTTTAGTGTTTGGAGGAAATTACCTCGAAGATTCGAATCTAGTTGTTCTCCTGTTCCACTGAAAGTCACAGAGATAAATATAACATCATGAATAGTCGATGGTATCGAAGTATCCGCATAGAAGCCTATCTCTCAATAGAGGTCGAGGAATTCGACCCTGTACAGCAGCGGGAATTTACAAGTTTCAGACAACAACAAATGATACCTGTTGCACAAGCGGTGGCTCTCGTGCCCCAGTGGATAACTCTTTGAACCTTGGGACGATAGGTACTGGGTTTGAGTCTCAGTGCGAACACTACCACCCATTGGCGTGCAGGTACATCCAGCTGAAGAGTCCCAAGTAGAACGAAACGTGCGCCCTGAATTCTGATGACAAACAACAAGGTGAATACAACTAATTTTTAACCCCTTTCCGTACCCGGGTGTGTTAGACACTCCTTTATTAAATCGAACTCCTCGTCACCTAATGATATTAGCTCACTTCTAACATCTCTGACTTTGACTGATTTAATTAAGATGGTAGAAACTAAAATAGTAGTGCTAAGAGACGAGTCCCTATAAGTAACACGATACACTTTAAATCTGCCACAAGGACACAATATACTTTTAACTTTGAGATTCAAGGTCAACGAACTACTACACAGTTGATATTTGTTTATTTATCACTGTTACGCAACTGTGTTTGCTTGTAATTTTCAATCATCCCACATACAGACATGCTGGGTGTGATATTACGGTGGAATTATTGAATAAATAGTGTGAAAATGTTTATCGTGACCATTTCATGTGCCTAGATGAAACCATTCAGGTGGAAAACGGGAAAACTGAAGTAACATGATACTGGATATCTCAATCAAGTTATTAGGCGCAATTTAAAAAGTTATTTTAAGCCCACTGATACACATGATCAGGTTAGGATGCAATGAAAATGTTATCAGTACTAGACATGAAGCTCAGCTTATTGATCACATTCTAACAAACAATAATTTGTGTGCTCTTGGGTTAGAAGGTATTGGATAGAGTGAGAAGTAGTTAACAAAAGAAATGATATATATGTTTACCATCTCTGCTTAAACTGACGGTGCAACTTGGGGATGAGGTTTACCATTAACTATGTAACTTTTTTGGTAGCTTAAAAACTGAATGAACGGGTTCGGTTTCTAAGCTGAGAAGAGAATTGTTTAGTCGGTAAATAGCCATGAGTATCATCTGCCGCAAATCAAAGCAAATTATAACCAACTTACAAAAAGACTAAAAGCATAATTTAATCCTAATGCATTAACGTTTGATAAGGTGATAATGTAGTGGGTGTTGCTGATAACAACGGATATAAGTAGTATATATGGAGAGGGTGGCAGGAATCATAGGGAATTACCGGCAATGGGTAAGATTTCTGCCAAGAGCAACACAGGGGACAACATAGGCGTATTACAGGGGATGCTGCTGATAAGAGTGTAGAAGAGCCGGTCAAAAGCAAATCAAGACAGGGACGGAGAGGAAACGAAGATATTTGCAAATGGCTGCGTTAGTGCAAAGAGTACCATATGTAACCACTGCCATTCCAATTGTTCGTAATAAACATTCGTCGAGTTGTCTTCTGCTCTTCAATAAAACTGATTGATGTCATGAAAATATTACTAATTTGAGGAATTACTAAGAATAAAAGTTAAGCTGAATAGCAGTTTTTTTATTACGGCTTAGAATGAACTGAGGTCTATTAACACGTTGGGTTATTCGATGTGCAGCTCTAGAGATAATTAAAAACAACGTATAACCACGATATATAGTAGACAGTTTTGTGCAACTTTGATTTTTCCATTTGAGTTGTCCAAAGGCATTTTATTTATTTTCAAACAGTTTCCAACACAGATTGACATCAACACATGAACTATTGTAAGTCTGAGTGAACTGGACAGCTGTTACATATTATCTAGCTAGTGCATACTTAAAACGTGCCCAGTTGTTTGATCGAAACTAATAGACCAAGTGTACATAGGCTGGTTACATGGTTGCTGTTTCTTTTTCTATTCAATTTAACTACTAGAATTTTTCTCCGTATTTAGGAACACCTCTGAGTACGACTGAATACGAGTGCCATGAAAAAAGGAAACAAATCTATTTAAGTTCACTTAATTCAAGCAGATTATGAAGCTAATAGACATTAAATCATTTTCTTCTATTATTTACAGAATCCACTTTAATACTAGAACCACTATAGAATAAAAATTCACTATAGTTTGGACTATAAACTCATTCATATAACTGATACAGACAGTCTACAATTGTATAAAACATAATTATCCTTGACTGTGATTAACCACTTTGAGCTGAACTCAAATAATCTTTGATTCTTAAATTGCCTATCATATATTATTAATCTATTCTGAAAGTTTTCACATAGGCTGATATTAAAAAGTGACTACCTGTTAACAACTTAACAATGTAGATATGTAACCGTAGAATCTGATAAGGAAGTTATCGAAAAAACATGTTTCGTTGCTGAATATATAAACGGTTTGATGAACTATAGTGGTGATTTTCAATCATTAATTCATTGAATCGAGATGCATTCAGCAATCATGTGCACTTCACATGCAGTAAGTAGGTGGGTGGTGAGTCACATGTACGCTGTGGGGATAATTATACTACCTGGCTGTCCAGATCTTGATAGATGGAACGGGGGCTTGGACCCACAATATATATAGCACTGAGAGAAAAATATTGTAGTTTGAAACTTGCAATTTCCCGTTGTTATGCAGGGCCGAATTGCTCGACCTTTGTTGGTCGATGGGCTCCTATACAGATAGACGCCTCGATACTACCGGATATTCACGATGTTGTATTCATTTTGGTGACTAGCACTGGAAACCAGGACTCGCCTTTCATTCTACCTATATAGGAGACCATCTGCCAACAGGGGTTGAGCATTTCACCCTTGTATATTAACGAGGAATTATCAGCATCAAATAACAACAACAAATGATACCCGTTGCACAAGTGATAGCTCTCACGCTTGTGTTTGAAGCGATGAGTACCGGGTTCGAATCCCGTTGGGAATAGCATCATTCACCAGGGTGGACATACATCCAGCTAACAAGTCTCGAGAAAGACGAAAAACGCATCCTGGATTCCTCTGCTAGCCATCAAGTTAAATATGTAATATCATGAATATCTGGAGGGAATTATCATTTCGAAGAGGGTAAAAGGGTGAGTATAACTTTCGATGAAGAACAGTACATACACCGAAGGTGAGGATGGATATTCTAGACGCGAAAGAAACTTGGGAGTAGTGGACAGCTGTTGGCATGGGACTACTTAGCAGTGAGCACCCATGACCCCGCCCCATCAGGGATCGAACCTGTAACGTTCAGATTCCGTGACCAGCCCATTACTATTGAGCCACTTGGTCACAATCCAGTGGTCCATATTTCCAACTTCTGTCAGCTCACGACATAGCACGACCATCACCCAGTATCATCGTTGAGTATTTGTCCTCGACCACCAGATTCGCCCTACTGATCACGACTTCTCATTGGAACTTCAGGAATCACCTCTCAAAGCTAGTCACCAATGAACACCAGATTAATTCAATTTGGGTTTTTTTGAGGATTTATGGGTTTCAAGTTGGTATCCATCATGTACTAACATCAGTTGGAGGAACACTGGAAACCTGGGGAGCTGTTTCGTCCTAGTATGAGACTCCTCAGCAGTGCGCACCAATAACCCCTCCAGGGAAATATGGACTATTGGATCCCGACTCTGGCTCAATGGTAACGTGCTGACTGCAGAACCTGAAGGTCCTGGATGCGCACTGCTGAGTAGTTCCATACTAGGATGAAACAGCTGTTCAGTTTTCTCAGGTTTCCAATGCTCCTCTAACTGATGTCAGTCCAAGGTGAATACCAACTTAAGATTGTGGATGAAGGAAAGGAAAAGAAAATCGGAATATGTCATGACGTAATCAAAACTGTTGCATTAGTAAGGATAATACAACTACGGTAAAGTGTTTCACATAAGAACAAAACGTTCCGTAGTGCTTCACGAAATAAGATATGCATTCGATATACTGTCTAGTCATTTCTTAATCTTTAATTTTATTCACAGTTTGTGAAGGTATGTCACCAAAAAAATAATTGACGACATTTACCAACTTGATTCAAAAAAAGGCGAAGTGAATGTGGTGAACAGTTCCATCTTTAACGCACCTAGTAACGCACAGGGCATCATATAGATACTAACAAAGCTTTTAATATCATATATCATGTATCGAAAATAATAAGACGTGTAACCTGCCAACGTTTGCTCAGGCACAACCAAGGCTATAGAAATAAAATTGATCAAACCTGAACTTTGCATTCAGAAAGTTATTCATTCCACATGGCCTTCAATAAACGTGTCTTCCTTATTTATTGCCTTTTCTTTAACTATCACATTTCTCATTTGGATTACAAATCATTCGAATAGTGGCAAACTTAAAGCGAAAAGTCGATTTCCTTATAGTCTCGAACTCAAATTCCACTTTGAAAATGTATTCTGTTGTTTTACGCCGTACAATTCAATTTTTTTAAACTGTGGAATTTGATGATAATTCACTGAAGAGAATACTCTATGTTCAAATATTTTTAAGCATGCAAATATTGAAAGTTAAAGGAATTAGTCAACACATATTGGTACTGTACAGATGAATCTAATGATAATAATAATAATAGTAATAATAGTGGTAATAATAATAGTAGTAATAATAATAAAGCTAAAAGGTTTACCTCCAGGTTCATAAGTTCGCCATTGATGAGAAATTTCTTGAGATGTACATGGGAAAAAATGTCTAATTGATCCAGGAACATTTATACGGTGTTCAAGCCATAGGCAAAAAGGATAGAAACGCTTATTATCTGAGAATTCACCAACAGTAACTGTGTTCATAGATGATGTTGATGAGTCTGAATCTCGGAATTCTTCATTATAAAACTGAAAACCCTGTTATAATGAAGAAATATACATAAAAACACCATAAAGTGACTAATCATACTAGTATTGTGTAACATGTCAGGAGTATTGTGTTTTCATTGTCAGTTTATACTGTATGAACGTTACATAAACTTGATTTGTTGATGTAGTCAAAACGGCTTTGTAACTATTTAAATGTTTATTTGCCTTCAGCATTGCTAGAAAAAGACACACACATATACACACGAAACGACTCTTAATGTGCGCAAATGATATTTTAATTAACAGCTACTTATGATAATTTGGTTGGTTGTGGCTAGCAGAAGAATCCAGGAAGCACGTTTCGTCCTATTTGGGACTCATCAGCTGAACGTACCGGCACCCCAGTGATGTTGTTCCCACTGGGACTCAAACCTCGTACTCATCGCTTCAAACGCCAAGACGTTGTCCACTATGTCACGGAGGAACGATAGCTACTTCCAACAAAACAACGGAGAATAACAAGTATGTCAACAAATAGTAATAACAGCTACTTGGCTATATCTTACCAAGGAAATCAGAACAATGACACTCTAGTTACGTATTCAAAGTTGTCCCTGGTGTTAAGGTAGATTAAGTAGTCAATTCCTTTCGAGTAAATTCCCAAAGCTAAAACAAAGCGAGGCAGTAACTATCAACTACTTGCCAATGGGGATAAATAATTCAACCACGAATTTGACAGTAGAAAGCATAAATAATCGTTGTGTTTTGATAATGAAACTACCACATTCATTTCTCAGTGGCATTCATCTCATGTCAACATTGGCATTGTGGTATTTATAAGTCATCAGGTTAGAAGTTCGTAGCTAAAGTTGCGTTGGTTGACGGATTCAATTACTGACTATACCGCTCAGATGCAGTTGAACATTTATAGATAGATAGTAGCTGAAGTGACTAGATACAATTACCTTAAAAAAATTGTGTAACCTTTTTAAAAAAACAATAGGAGGGGTGGTTTCAGTAGGGAAATGATTATTGATTTTTATCACTGATACCCTAGTTTCAGTCTGATTCTAGGGAAGGTGGATAGATAACCCATTGTTACTGTAAACACTCAACAGCATGTAAGTATCAAATCTTTGTGAAACGATGATATTCATGAGAAATGTATTCCTGCATAAACAAAAATTTCAACGCACTCAGGTATCTTGCACACGTCAGTGCAGCATGCAATGAGCTACACCTATTGTGTGGAGGCTAGTGGCACTACTTAGCCCCCCAAACCTAGGTAGGTAAAGCAGGACCCGTGACCCCCAAAATGACTTTGATTGAATTCGGCATTTATATTTCGAAACCAACAAGCAGTAGTATCACTGCCCAAGATTTCACAGTGTGCAGCTTTCAAAAGACAAACAAGAAGCAGGAAAAAAACCCAGTATGACTTACATTATTATATGAAAGTGATCGAGATCGCGTGTGCAATACATATTCAGCCGATTTGCCCAATGTTTCATCTGAACCATGATACTGAACAATGCGAAATGCTGTAGTGGGTTCATTGTTCAATCTTGGTAACAATATCTGTTAAAATTGAGGAGAAAAAAATATTTAAAAAATGCGACAAACATACACTGAAGTAATTGTTAATAGAATTTTTTGAACTGAACCGGGTATTCAGCATAACCAAGCGCACATGATTTGGTTTCCAATGGTACAAGAGTATTTATAACAAAGTACCTAATATTGATAATCTACTTGAACGTGTACGTAAAATGAAATACACAAAATAATTATTAATAAGGCAGCGGATAAAAAGTATGAGAAACAGAAGTGTACTGTAACGTTCTATGAAATATCATGCATATATATATATATATATATATATATATTTGCTAGCGAGGTAAAGATTTCAGTAAATTTGTCACAGCTGAACAGATAATATTGATAGAGGGATTTGCACCAAAGATCAATATCAATCAGAGAGTCATCCGAAAAGTGGAAGCATTGGACAGGGGGTTTCATTCTAGTTTCCGACTGAGAGATCGAATCCAAGATCGTCAAGTTCACCTGTGAGGTCAATCAAGTCGAATGTGACAGATAAATACTAGTCGGTAACGTTCAAAAATGATTGTGCTAAATGACGAATTGACAGGAAATGGAAAACGTGGGTTATTTGAATTCTGAACCAATGGTTGAATGGCAACATGCTGCTCACCGTGAGACTGACTGGCGAAATCAATGTAGAACTTCACACACAAGTTCATCGGTTCGAGTTGCCACACTTCGCAGTAATACGATAGGAAAGGAGTGATATCAAAGTAGACAAAGTTGTGTGAAAGAATAAACAATCTGAAGATAAAGGTCAATGTAAATATTCAAGTTTTAGATGTCAACGAGTGAATATATCTGCGCCATTGTGACCGACCTTCAATTATCTCACCAGCAGTCCCCAATTACTGATTCCTTTCATCTCGAGGACCCTAACAAGGCAGTCAACATCTCCCCACACGCCTCAAGCCAACAGGGACTTCATCGACTTGTACCACGTCTTCGTATGTCCGCCCTAAACCCTATTCCATTCTAATCTGAGTTCCTCAACTATGGTACGTGAAGGTAGGGAGCGAATCGGCATGCACAGTACATGTTCAAACCATCTCAGTTGACTAACGTTCACAATCTCTTCAATCGATTTACCTATCTTGCCTAGTACCTTTTGGCTGACCTCAACATTGCTCACACGGTAGTTCCACCAAAGGTGATTAATGCCAGGAAAACACATGTGATCAAATACCTGTAATCGCTTCATGTCTTCTACTTTTAACGGCCAAATCTTACAGTCGTACAACAGGACAGAACGAACTGCAGGCCGTGAGACCTCATGATTCTGGATTCGATTTCTTGCTGAGTCGTGTGTGTGCGCTGCTGAGGAATCCCAGACTAGGAAGAAACATACGTTCATCGCTTTCAGTTTTTCAGCAGTTCTCTGGTCGATATCAGTATGATGAAAACTGCTTTGAAATTAATCGACTGCCCACAAGCCTGCAAAATGGACAAGATTCTCGTTACCTGCTAGGATCTAATAAAATCACTGACAAAGGTGGAATGTGTCATGTGGGAATAGGTTGGTGAATGAAGCCATCACAGACACCTTTTTGTTTTATTCACTAATGTTTACCAGACAGCAAGAACGATAAGATGAATGAATAAATAAAAAATTAACAAGACATCTGGTCATCAACCTTTGTCGACACATGTTAACCTGCTAACGCACTGTCGACTTCTCAAGATGATGGGGAATATTAAAAACATGAAGCTATGAAATGAGTAAGCATTCAATAGTACTTTACATAAACAAGGATATAAAAAACATAACTGAATATATATTTTATCATTTTGACTATGTGAGATAGCTGAAGTTTAACAGACTAAAATTGATACTGGGTAATGTTTGAGGGTGAAATGGAAATCTGAACTGCGGCCGGATTTAAATCAGCCACCGCCGGGTTTCCAGGGCGATGCTCTATCAACCGAGCTACGAGGTCCGATTACTGACCAGATTTTCATATCACATTAATCACCAAGGGTTTTGCCCGACTACCGTGTGTATTCGTAGCTCAGTCGGCAGGGCATCGTGCCGGAAACCCTTCGGTTGCTGGTTGGTATCCAGTGGCGGTCCAAATTTTTACTTCACCCTCAATCATCACCCAGTATAAATATATATTTGCAACAGAAAGATACAATATGAATTCTGTACAACCATTAAGTCGGTATACTTACTCTTCGGATAATATCTGTTGCCTCTGATAATGACTGATTCTTATAAAGCGTTACGTCTGCATGAATGATCGCCTGTTCCGTTGGACATCGTGTGTAGGCTTCAAACTAAGTAGACAGAAAAAAAAATTAGTAACGCCTAACTTGAAAATCATATTCAGAAGCAAAGAAAACACACAACAACTATGCTATGAACGATTTCATGTGATAACGCAGGTACAACTCAGTAATTTGATACACCATTATGCACTAAAGTATTACATATAGATCAAACTACATTAGATGCTTTGATCTTGATCGACAGAGTAGTGTTAAGAACCATAAATGCTATTTGATTAATTCAAAACTTTTACCTAGAGATGTGTGGATGTAATATTTATTGTTATTAAAGCAATATTGCATTAAACTGAAATATTCCATCGAGTGTACAGGAATATTTTCAATAAGACCACACAACAGAGAATCTGGTATCAGTTACTTTTGATACTCTACACCAGTCAACAAAATGTCACCCGCCATCTAACAACACATAATTACAGTACCAAGAATAACTCAATAACGAGATATCAGCTTATTTACTTACAGGTATGTTTCACACTTCACGTCAAAATGTCTGAAGTTTATGCTAGCTAAAATTATGCGGTTATCTGAGCACAGCTGTAGTAGGCGATCACCGTTATCTGTTCGTTTAGTCGAGATTCGGAAGGTGCCACCTAAGTGCTTTTCTGCTTGACAGCCAACCCGCTTATGCATTGAAATCACCTGCAAGAATAACAATATCTGAACGTTTGGCTTTCAGAAGGAGGCTAGATAGTTTACGGTAGAACTCATCCTTCACTTCATCCGAAGGTGGGTGCACAAGTAGATATTACAAAGAGAAAACGGCGAGTTTCACTATTCCTTTTGGTTCGCACTGTGCTGTTCAGTCGGATAGCGCATAGGCGACTATGAACTGGGATCCAGTCTAGTAGTTAGCTTTCTGCCTTAGTTCTTAATGCTGTCTACACCTGCAAGACCGCGAGAGCTGATCAATCTTGCGAATTCTCCATATTGGCCAGAAGAAGTTAAGTGAATAACTACATTTTGGTCCTGTATACGTGTCTCACAAACACAGCACATACCCATGGCCCGAGTTGCTAGAGTTTTGGCCAATGAGGCTTGTTGGTCAATTCGATGGAGGGTGTGGACATTGAAAGTTCCAATGTGCAATTTGGAGCGTGGTTTAAGGAGACCAAGGATGCTGTTCTGTGACCTCAGATCGTTGTCGAAAGCTTCAGAGGTAGAAATAAATTAAAGACGATGTAGGATTGTTAACCGAGGTGGAGGAAGATAGGGTAAGGATGGGAGAGGTGGACAGTGGTCTGAGGGAACTTGAGTGCTGGGAGAGTTGTGAGGGCGGTTGACACTTCCCGGCTGCTTACACTGTGGAAGGCTAGGTTTTCTTGAAGGACCTGAAAAAAAGGGATTAGTGCATGATCGCAGAGCCCAGGGGATATCTGGTAGAGGCCGGTCATACACGGCCTTTTTGATGCCACGATAACTGGTTTGTAGAATGGGATATGTAGTTAGACATATGTCCTGTGGTTTTGGATTACCACTAACCACTGATGACTGATCTAAGCTATCATAATGCATCATTTCATTGTTTAAGAACATGACAAGGGTAACTGTTTTTTGTCTAATCACTATCTGGCGTGGTAGGACCCCCAGGGAACAAGTGCTCCATCAGCACAGCACATTAGGTCATCATGATTTACATATACAACCCCGACCAGCACGTCAAAATAGCAGCTGTCCGTGATTGCTATACAGTGTTGAATTGCTCAACCTCTGTTGGTAGATGGGCTCCTATACAGATGGGATAAAAGGCAAGTCTTGGATCCCACTGCTAGTCACCAAGATGAATACAACATCATGAATATCCGACAGTACAGAAGCATCTGTATAGGAACCCATCTGTCAACAGAGGTCGAGCAATTCGGCCCTGTATAACAACGGGGAATTACAAGTATCGAAGATCTTAAGAGAAAGGATCATGGACACAGATAAGTTTATAGACTGCTTTAGTCGAACTTTAAATAATGCAACAGAATGAAAGGCACTGTTCGATCGATGGACTTCGACTAACATTTTATACAAATGTGTACACTGGTTACCCAACTAGCGATCAAAGTGTGGACCTTCAGACATATCGATGAGAAAGACTAGGTGATAACTTTTGGCTGACTATTCTATCATTGATACAACGCAAAGATAGTAGATGGTTTTACAACACCTTGGCCACTTTATCGCAATGTTTAAACTAACACTTAGAAGGATGAGAATGCACAATTATGGAAATGCCGGTATGAGTTTATGTGAAGCGTTTACTTCGAAAACAGCCTGTAATATTAAGTTACCATAGTGTTAGGCAACAAATGTGTGTACTACTATATATGCATATGTTAAAAAAATTTGGTTGAACACTATTCAAATTAGTGGTTTTTAAGGAATTGAGGATAGTTTTGATAGTATATTGGGTTTAGTTATATGAGCATTGAAATCACAACATGAGACAGCTGTTTCATAGAAGTTCAGAGTGTCTTGCAACACCATATGAAATCGAACCTGAGGAAGAGAAGTGAATGAATGGTAAAGTCTTCACCGTAATATCTCGCAAACCTTGGCTTGTGAGTGACTACTAGCTGAAGAGTCCTAAACTTGAAATTAATTAGCTCTTCTTGATACTAAGCGATTTCTTTTGGTTAACATCACTTTGTGATGTTAACCTACTCGGAATAGTATCCGTTTGAAATATACTAACAAAAGGATAACAGTTCAAAATCATCAACAGCTTCTTGACAAGATATGTAACAAATGCACCTGTTCACACAGATTGATAGTACTATAAGGTTTCACAAAGTTGAACTAGGCAGAGTAGATTACAATGGATTCAATGGTTGATCATTGACACTAGATGACTTATCCACAGTCATGAAGTTTATTTTAACCCGAAAAAAAGACAAGTCAGCAAGCGTATATATAAGTTCACATCCCAAGTTATAGATCATTTCACCAAACATGAAGTTTACCAAATATCACTAAAGTTACTAGAACCAAAATGGACAGAATGAGGTGAGTGTCTAATAACGGATTGGTTTAGACACTCACCTTTCAAGCACTAGGTTTCAGTTTAAAATCCCACTCCAAGACCTAGCCAAGCAAGTAGTTTCATTAAACCTTTAAGTGTTGCTCATGACATAAATTTGTACCGGGTTGCTGAGTGGCATTATTTTTCCAACGAGGCATCTATGTCGTGGATCATCAGCGATATTTCGTAGTAAATCTAGCGTAAACTGTTACTGGTGTGACATCTCTCAGTGCCATGTTGTAGTTAACTTTATATTCAAATCAAAATCTATAATTCACTTTTGTGAAGTATACATACTGCCAATTATATAATGATACTCAAAGTTGTGAAATTAGTCTCAAATAGCACATGAGTAACACAAAATGGTATATTTGTACCTATGGCTTACAATGTAATGAATGTATCGAAACTGAAAACGAAGAAGAAAGGCATGATATAACTACCAACAAGTAGTTCAGGTGATCATAATGAAACTTTCTTGGCGTTAACTATTCAATTTTAGATGAACAGCATAGGAATAGAAAATGCAAAACATAGATAAGCAAAGTTATGCAGTACAGAAGGTTATGAATGCTATTTTTCTCAAACTAAAACCTAGTAATGATAACTTATCACCAGCAAGAAAGAAGCATCAAGTGTATTACTACGACGGTCACTCAAATATGCTTTTTTTTAATCGACAGAAAGCCTTGGACTTACATCTTGCCAGCAAGGTGTATCTGCAATCTTGGGGGTACTGATATCCCCTAAGAGATTCAAACCTATGCGTTACACCAAATAATATCCATTAAAGTGCACTACGATAGGGAGCCTTCTATAGCTTGGTGACCACATTGCAAACATGATCGCTAGAATTCAGTCAGCAAACAGGACTAGATAACAAAAGATTGGTTGCGCTTTAGTGACTAATCACTGCATGTAATCAAGTCCCACAGGAAGTCATTTGAGGCCCGAGCAGCTTGGTGATAACGTCGCTGAATGCCACACTGGGTGACGTGGGTTTGAGTCTCAAGGGGGGAGGGGCATCAGTTCCGTCGAGGTTGCAGATACGCCTTGCTGATGAGAGCCAACAAACACGAAACCTAGATCTAGAGTTTTCTGCTAAATGCCTTTAACTAACTAACACACTAGATAGTGTGTTATCTTGTGAGTGGTCAGCTGAGGAAACAACTCAAAACGGTGCAGTCAGACACGTTTAGGCCTATCACACTCTTGATTTATAGCGTCATATCATCTAGCTATAATCGAATACTTATAAAGAAGTGACCAATATCAGAGTGATCACACTGCATACGGAGTGCTTTTAAGTAAATTAAAATGAAAGAGTTGAACATACTACATACATTACACATCATTAACTCTCTTTCCTTTTTTTCAGCGGCGTCTTTTTCCTCTTCATGTAGTTCTTGTATCTGTGTAAAGAAATAAAAATTATTACTATCGAACATAACGACAGGAGTATATATATATATATATATATATATATATATATATATATATATATATATATATATATGAATGTGAATCAGCATATAAGTATTAGGTTAGTTGCAGAGATAATAAATCTCAATAGGATTTAAAAATTAAAAAAGGCCTGAAATAGACTAAACTGTTTCTGTTTCATTACCGCCTTTCCCACTACGGAGGAACTGACCGGCCATTACGAGTGGAATCTGAAGGCATTTGTACAAGCGTCTTTATATATGATAATCCCATAGGAATATAACAATTGACACTACAGAAGCTATATAAAAGTGGTGACTGGAGTTATACAAATAAATCATTAACATCAGTGTAGCAAAAAACGGTAATGAATTGAAGAGACCAGCTTAGCAATCCCTATTTCAAAATAGGTAAATAAGAATTTGTTCCTAAACTAACTAATAAACTTTGCTATCATCTTTGAGAGAATCAATCAGAAGTAAATAGACTATTGTTATGGTGTGGAGTTGTGAGAACGAACGAAAATACTTAACGACTGATAGTCGAGGGTTGAGACTATAACAACCCGAGTGATTCCCAAAGAGAAATCAAAAAAACTGTTAATCAGATAAATTCATAATATCTCGGATTGAAAAGATTTATTAGTGAAAATGGATCCTATTTATAAAGTTTACAGTAACCTTGAGAGATAACGAATAATTAGTATATTTAAAGAGGCAGGAGCTAATCAGAATGTTAGCGGTTCATACCAAATATGACTCATACACGGGAAAAAGAGCGCGAAGTAAAAGTTCAAATATACTCAAACTATAAAGTATGGAATATAAGGGATATAGGCATCCCTAACAATTATTTTCTGATCTCTAGCGGGTAAACATGTAGAAAATCCTTCCTTTTCTCATTATGAGCAGAATAGTGTGGAATTTTTCAAGGTTTATTAAACTTTTGGGACGGGGTAATAACCTAAGCAGTTACAGTCACAGATATTCGTCATGATTCAGGACGCTATTCACTAGAATAAAAACGCAGTGCTCTTAAGATAAACAAGAAGAATTTGGGATAACTGAGAAGGCTCTTATAGAGAATGGATATCCGGAGAAATTCATCATGAAGCATATAAAAGAATTCATTGAGAGACCAAAACATCCAACTGCTGAGATAAAGTCTGTTTTCCTTTGCTTAGCATTCAAAGATGATGAGAGGTCTGAAAGAATAGTTAGAAGAATAAAAGCTGCGCTGAGAAAGAGCTTTCCTGCTGCCAAACTGATCTTAGTTTGTAATACATTATGCTTAATAACAGTCGAAAGTAGACAAATAACCGTCTCACGTCACCTTCAACTGCATACATCAATTCACCTATGCTTGTGGAAGATAGTACATGGGACGGACTGAAAGAAGGGCGTCCACTCGATTTTATAAGCATATTCCGAAAAATCAGTGTGGTAGCAAAGTCTTCACAAGTGCAATCGCCAGACATCTCATGAAAACAAGACATCAATTAGATGTTACCCAATCCTCAACCTCATTCAATAGCTATATGAAGACGCCACACGCCAAGTGATCCACAATGGAAAGCTCAGTGACGCCTTTGAAGTGAAGACAGGAATAAGACAAGGCTGCCGTCTACTATAACCCATGATCTTTCTGATTGTTGGTCGACTGGACTGGATCATGCAGCAAACAGTGAGGAGCTGTGAGAAGATGGACACACGCTGGCTTGATCGTTGAAAAGAGCCTAGAAGATTTGGATTTCACCGATGATGATTTTTGTCTAATGTCTTGTAGCACAAACTCGAAGATCTACAAGCGAAAACTAACAAGTTGACAGAAGAGGCGAGGCAGGGCAGCGAAAACGGTACTTCAAATGAATGTAGAGAAGACAGAGGTGATGAAGATACCCAACCACCACCACCAACAACAACAAGCTCCAATCACCATTAACGAGAGAAACCTAATGGCAGCAGTCTCTTTCACCTATCTAGGCAGCACTGTTTCAACTACAGGCGGCGGCGGCGGCACAGATTAGGATGTCAAAGCCAGGATCGGAAAGACAGGCATTCATTAACTTGAAACCAATGTGGAGATCTTCTGCACTGCACTCAGCATAAAGCGTGAACAACATCCAGATTTTCAACACTAATGTCAGTCAAGTCAGTGCTGCTATATGGTTGAGAAACTTGGCGCGTCAGCAAAAGCATTTTCAACTAACTACAGATATTCATCAACGACTGTCTACGCTCACTCGATGCTGAAGTTCAGATGGCCAGAATAATGAGAATAAGCAACAAGGAACTCTGACTGGCTGGCAACGAACCAACGAAGCAAGAACCTATCACCCAACAGATATGCAGTGGAAGGAAGTGGAGATGGATTGGGGATACACTGAGAAGGCCGATTGGGTATATCACGCGTCAGGCCAGACCGTGGAGTGGAATCCAAAGGGGAAACGACAAGTTGGGCGTGCGAGGCGAGGGTGACATGGAGATCATGTGAGGGAGAAATGAAAGGTTGTGGGCAGTCGTGGCACCAGGTTCAATGGACTGCAACGGAGGCGTGCTACAGAATCCCTATGTTCCACTAGGAACCCAAGGGAAAAATAGTAATAATAAATGATCCTTCATGATAATCAACAAACAAAGAACACCATGCTTATTACGGTTTGCGGAAGCTCTCGCTATCAAACATTTTCAAACTGACCTATGTACTCAGAAGGAGACTGTAATTAACCTTTCTTTACCCTGGTAACTGTATATGATCCTTGGCATGTGTATATATATAGTCTTCCCTTTTCTTTTGATTGCATCGTCTCCTCATTAATTACTTACTATTAATCACTTAACGATTTCCGGACTTTTCAAGTAATTACGTAACCTATAGGCTTTTAAACAATCTCTTCTTTTACACTGATTTTCGTCTGTTGTCCCCTCACTCCACAGCTCCAGAATTTTCTATCTCATGAGATATAGATAGCTCTTGATTTTGACTAAGATTTGCAACTGCTAATCTTGTGTTTCCTTGACTTACTACCTTATTGTTAATCATGGATTTCAAACCTCCATTTATTTCTGCGTGTTTAAGTATGTTACGCCATTATTACTACTAATATTTCATTTCAGTTGTAGGCTGTTTGCAGCTGATCAAAGGTCATGAAATAAAATGAGCTCATTTTATTCTGCAAATGTTTTTGTTCTTGCATTGTTCATAAATAAGAGTTTAAGACAGTTGGCTTTGAAGTGTAAACTCTTAGCCTTTTGAAATATAAAACTTGGAAATCAAGTCATAAAACAGTAAACAATCAGAAAGTGGAACCCCTCTCTATCACTGTTAGGATACTATCAATAGTGCTGAAATAAGCATGATTCAACAGTAAGTGTGGAATTCATTCACAGATTGACTATTCCATTTTCAAATTCAACTCCATCTATTTCCTCCTGGATAGCTGATTAATATCCACTCTCAAAGAAAGTGTGGTAAATACCCTAGTACACAAAAAAATCTGTACCACGTTAAGTTGCAATACAATTGTTCAGTCTTGCATCTATTTCGTATTAAATGATCAAGTTGTAGGCACTACTTAAGTCTGTCAGTAACAAATAATCTTGAGGAACTTTCAATCCCATAAATGTTTACATCACTAAGCACCGTTTGAAAATAATTTGAAGGATTTCGGTATGAGTTATGGACTATTTCTATGTGTTTTTTCTTGTTAAATAAGATTTTATTTCAACGACTTGAAGGCAGGATGATCAATATAGCATAGCCTGATTCAAGTGTGACGTTACCTGACAGAACAACGTACTTACTGTTCAGCACCACAGTAATTCTACATGATATCAAATGGTGTATTCACTAAGAACCTGTTTAAATGTATCAAAATGATGACCCAATGTCACAGATATTTCCATACATGTTAAGAACACTGAACAACAGAGCTCCAAATACCAGTAAACTGAATCAACGGATATATAATACAATAGGAGTACTAACCATTTGTTTAATATGCTCTGGAAAATCCTCTGAGTTTAGAAATGTTTCATTCAACTCTGGATCAACACGTCGATACATCAGAAAATAAGCATTTGAATGACTAAGATACGTTGATTGAGTAGTACCAAAGGTGGCTTCCAGTGCCTCTAGATTTGTTGGAATAACATGCTGATCATTGAATTTATACCATCGACCATCCGTAAAAGATCTAGTGGAATCAAAAGAGAAAATAGTCAACATAACTTGTAGTAACAAGTGTACCTACACTAACTCAGAAAAAAAACACTTCCTGTACAATGATGAAACCTGAAAATTACTGACAGCCATGGTTGCAATCGAAAATTAAAAAGCTGGGATACCAAAGAATAACAGCTTGCGAAGAACAGAATACATCATCATTCAGAAATGAGGGAGAACTATTTCAAATATAAAACTTTATATATATATATATATATATATATTCATAAAGTGGATAATTTTCCAAAAAATTTACCTATTTGATTAAGAATTATACACTTGTTCTTACTATGTGGTTAATCGATACATCTGTCTCTTCGAGGCAGTATTTACGTTCAAGATAGCAGGTTCATAATGTTTAACAAATAAGCACAACTGATTACAGGAATCATACCATTTTCATACTTTAATCTTATATCCTGCTTTCTTTTCATCGGAAATACCTCCTTCACAGGCCACATCAACTTGTAGACTTATATGTGCATTAGATCTTCCATATGTTGTAAACACAATCTTCAAGTAAGGAAACATTGAACAGGTGCAGAAATTTCTCAGAAATCTACATAAACAAGCTCTTTATTTAAGTTTAGCCCTATCTTTCATCTCCTGTGTTAGGCGATAAAAGCAATATGAAAATAATTATAGTCATATAAAGGTCTAGTGTGCACCAACAGTGAAGGATTCTAATTCCTTAAACTACCATATATTGATATCGGAATACCTGAAGTGTGCTTACATTCGCTTGTGACGAGCATTTAATGGAGTCGGAGAACATTTGGATATAAATACTGAATAAAATCAAACAATACACTGGTATAGTCCTCTAGGAGTAGACAACTTGAATCCAGATACAGAAATGGACGCCGTTATAAGTAAAGTTAGATCAAGTGAATAGAAGCTAAGATATACTAGCGCAAGCATTCAACTTCCAACCAGTGGATCATGAGTTCGAACCCCACCACAGGCAAACAAAATCAACGTAGAACCTCGCACACAAGTGCATCGGTCCAAGTTGCCAGACTACAGTAGTCTACAAAGAACAGATGATATCAAGATAGACTCTATTATCCTCGCGAAAGGTTAAACAACCAGACTGTATCGAGAGCTATCACAATGTAAGACTTGTTACTTGGTGCGAAACTTGCATATGGCTGGCTTCTGAGTTGCATGGATTCTCGTAAAAGTAAGAAGTCACTACATCAGTAGCATCGGAATTAAGCTGGACCCAACTCTGTTCTGTCAATGATGTTTGATGCAATAAACATCTCAAGCTTCTTAAGTAAATGTCAGCGTTCGATAGACACTACTGAAATGATTTTCTTATCATAGAGAACTGGTTTCATGAATAGAATTGGTTGCTTAGCCAGAAATTTTTTTTCTTTTAAAAACTCATACACACATACACACACTTAGAACTCGATCTCACAGTACAATAGTACCTCGATGACCCTTTTAGCTTGCAGTTGGATTTCCAGTCAGTGAAAATCCATAAGTTACTCGTTGAGAGTAAGAGTAGGCCGCGTTTGACCTAAGTTTCGCACTTGTCAACACTCATCACTGAAACATATCTACAATCATGAAACTGACGTCCTTACGGTTGCTCATACATGCATCGCTCAGTGCTGAAGTTAGTAATTTTACTATGAAGATATCCAGACGACGAATGATCCCCTGTAGGACTGAATAATGTACACAAATTGGTCAAAAGTGAGTAATCTAATCTTCAGTACTTAGCACTGATAGAAATATATCGATCCTGTTTGCAGTGTTGCTACTGAACTGAATAACGCGATAATGTTAGTTGCGAAAAATCCCCAAAAATAGGATTTCATCATTTGGTTCTTCAGATAGCTTCATTCTCCAACATTGTACTCAAAGTAAAATGTCAGCCAGTTGAAGGAGTATTCAAAATCAAAGTTGAATGTGTAAAAAAACTGAAGCTATAGAAATTGGGACAAAAATACACCATAAAGATGCGGAAGAATAGGTATAAAGATATGCCACGACAATACTAATGCCCGCGATATCTTTTATTTCAAGAGATATATATGAATAACTACATAGGTACAGTATTCAGTCAACCAGTCCTATCGAGGCTTATAAATTAACTGCATTCTACTTCTCATAGATTCCAGTTGCGTGATTGAAATTTCTAACGAATGAAGTGAAACGCGCAGACAGACAGATTAACGTAGAGTGAGACAAACAAGTGGATCACTCAAAGTTGCTACACTTCACAGCAATATGCAAAGACGAAATGAAGAGGAAAACGATGGAGATAAAGCAGGCAAAAGTGTATGACAGTTGAGAAAATAAACAGAAGTTGAATGATATTCAAGACTTCTAAGATGATGAAGAGTGTATACATCTGCGTCATTGTGACTGATTTCCAGCTATACCACCAAATCTTCAATTTTTGATTCCTAACATCTCAAGATTCACATCAAGGTAACCTATATATTCGTGCAAAGGTGAGAACGAAAGTCAAGGACTTCATGGATCGATGGCCACATCATCTCCAACTTTCTTTTAACTTAATCCCACTTCTGTTAACATCGCGTCTCCAGGTGATATGTGCCTGTAATGGGAATTCATTATCTGACTTTATGGTGTTTATAGTTTTTCATGTATTTTTCCCCGGAACTCTCTAGTACAAACTACAATCAGTCAAGAAGATATTTCAACGTATACTGCACCATAATCAAATACAACCTATTCTATACAAATGGTTATGACAAGGTGTTAATATCTAAGAACTAATGGATCACTTGGGCGTCTAATGATCATAGGGCCTAGGGTCTCAGACACTATATTCGTCAAACTTATTCGCTTGTGTTTATCACATTAGAATTCCTCTCTCTTCTCGAAAACTGAGACAATCAAAAGATAACACCAGCCAGAAGGGATTATATGTGACTCCCATACACTAGCTGACAGTTAATTTCACCAATAATCCTTACCACCATCCTTAAATACCCCTGGTACCAGTACATCTAACCCTGCTACCCTTCCTCGTTTCAAGTTACCTATAGATTTTTCGACTCCTCTAAATGTTGAAGGCCCAATCTCAATGTACTATTCAGGATCCGACTGCATGGTGAGCAACAGTGTAAAAACAGATTGCTATTCAGGTTAATGTATTACAGTTGAAATCTCTCAGGGATACCCACTCAGACATTTAGATACGGAGTTTAACAAACAAAGAATAGCTGTTTAGTGCTCATTAATGACATCCTGCAAGACGGATTTTCCGAAGTTCTAATGAGAAGCCATGACCTGTAGGGCCAATCAGGTTGTGGGCAAGGACATCTACCAATGGCACCGGTACATATCGCGAACTGAGAGAAGTAAGAAAATGAAGACCAAAAGATTCCGAACCCACTGACTGAATGGCAACGTGTTCGCCAAGAGAGCCGACAGTCTTAAGTTCAACCATTTGTGGGGTTGTGGGTGCGTGTTATCGAGGAGTCCTATACCAGGACGAAACATCTATTCAGTGCTCCCACTTTCTCATTGGTTTCTCAACTGATTTCAGTTCATGATGAATGTCGACTTGAAAAAACTTCTTAACAAGCATTTGCACGGAAATTCGAGGCACTACTAAATAGATTTATGTTCCATTCTTTGACAACAAGAAATCGTACAACTTTTTATGCTGGATATGATGAACAAATGCTTAAACTGAAATTCAAATGGAGTAAAATGAACAAAACCAATGGTATTATAAGCAACACAAATACAACTTAGCAACTACATGCCCTAAGCTATGAATCATTTATTATGTGAAGACTAGTGGTGGTTAAGAAAACCTGGGTAGACAGGTTGACATTCGAACCCTTTATCCACTAGTTAAAAGCCGAAAAGGTTAAGCTAATAGGCTTTAAAAATATACAAGATAAGCATTACAAGGCACATATATTAACATGGTGAAATGTTTGTTTTTACAGGTTTTTAAGGTGCTTTTTATTTGATATAGTATATTAAATAGAAAAAGACTTACTTTATAAATGCATAATAATGTCCACCATTAATTGAACCTGAATGGACCATAATTGAAAATAATTCATAGATTAATGAGTTTGATGAATGAGATTTCGTTTCAAGTTTCGATTGAGGTTTATTATCACCATCATCATCATTATGATGATTATTACCATTTACAATTTTAGAAGGATTGAACTTTTGAGGTGAACAGTGTTGAGGACTAAGACTTCGATGACGACGTTGTTTTCGACTATGACATTCATTTGTTAATTGAATTTGATGAGTAGTTGATGAATGTGAACATGAAGGACATGTGCATTCAGAGGCTATACCATCATCCAATTCATTAGAAGAGTAGACTGCGTGTTTAAATGTTTCATTAGTATGATTATTATTATTGTTATCATTACTGTTCATATTAATATTCCCTGTTGTCTCATTCATATTCTTTTGTACACTTAATACAGCTTTCATTAAAACAGAACTATTAGTTACTGTATGTGTTGGATTAACACCAAAATCGGACAGTTCATCAATTTCTTCTTCAACATTTGGTGAACCAACTGTAGGACTACCCGAAGATACACCGTCAAATGGACTGTTAAAAAAGTTGAATATTTAGACGTATAACATAAAGGTTATTTTAAAACGGGATTATTAGGCAAGAGGAAAGTATTATTATTATTATTTCGCAGTAACAAAGGGAGGGGGATCTGGGCAGTAATGTAGAGTCGTATTTTAGACTCAAGCTGTTTCTTCATAAAAGATTAGAATCTAACACTGATTGCTTTAAATATGCCAGTGACTTTCAGCGTCTGAGCTATTTCATGTTCCAAAATGAGCTATTCAGAGGTTGAATTCCCCAACCGTCGACTTTCATGGTAGAGCTAGCTAAGTTTCAATAGTAATTTATGCTTACAATGAAAGTAGTCAATCCATCTATAGTATAAGGAATGTTTTTTTTAAATCAAGGATTCTGCTGACAATATCGTGTTAGCTGAAGTACTTTGACCAAATGGAATCGTTTAATCGATATCAGTTACCTTCCTACTCGATATTATTTACTCGCTACAGACGTACTCCGCAGGTGGTGATTACACTGATACTTTTAAAAAACACGTTAAGCTTTCAGACACCAGGATTTTTCATATATTGCGACAAATTTCTACAGTATGAATACATTTCGTTTCATTGTTATGCGATGAACGGTTAGAAGTTTGTGTGCGTCTTATAACCTGGGCTAGGTTACCATTATCGTTTTACGGTGGATTTTGATAGCTACACCCCAATAACAATTACAATAAAAAAGTTTCTTCTCAAAGGACACTTCCTTTAAACTGTAGCGGTTAAAATTGTTAGGATATCTCCCACACCACCCCGGAAATAGTCACAAATCAAGTGACTTTAAAGGCCACCCTAGCAACTGATGAGAGCCAATTACTCTATTTTATGGAAAAGTACTTTTTTCAGGCGAAATACCGAAGCCTGATTACACATTTCAGCAGTTGCTTAGGTTGGCCTTTAAAGTCACTTCACAAATGAGATCACTCCAGTACCGCTAAAAGTAAACGCGTTAAGCAGATTAGTTTTTTTTCAATATGTAGTTGACTGACTTTGAGAGTGACTTTAAAGGCCATGTCTTAACAACTGCTGAGATAACCAATCAGATCTTTGTATTTCATTTCGAAAGGGAGGTTTTCACAAAATGGGGAAGTCTGACTGGTCACTTCATTTGTTAAAAGAGTGGCCTTTAAAGTTCCTCGACTTTGAAGGCAGCCCTAGTAACTGCTGCAATAGCCAATCAGCTTTCAGTATTTCGGATGGGATGGTAGTTATTCCTAAAACATAGAAATTTAGTCAGTTATCTTAACAGTTCCTAGGGTAGCCTTTAAAAAAACACCTGTTTTGTGTGCTAGATAAATAATCAAGGGGTGACTTCAAAGTCCACCCTAGCAACTGCCGAGATAACCAATTACATCTATTTTATAACATTCTCCCTTTCTAGATGGAATACCGTAACCAGAATGGTTATTTCAGCAGTTCTAGGGTGGCCTTCAAAATTGACCGGGTCAGGCCCTTTGTATGATGGCTTTAGTACTAACTGGCTACCGAGGCCTTGATAGATGGAGAGTAATTCGAACAAGTGACCCATTTGTTCAAAATGGAGTGACTAAGTTCATGACCATATATGTGTAGGACAATTACAAAATAAGGTAGATTCAGCCCAATTATCTCAAGAGCATGGCGTTATAATGACATCCACATTAGTAGTCTCAGAAAAGTGAAAGTTAATAATATTAGTGAAGTGTAAAAAACCAATAGCATTGAAACAGGTAGCAAAGGACATTTTTATTTATTTAGAAAGGTATGGAATATGGGCAACTTTAAAGGTCATCCTAGCAACTGCTGAATTAACCAATCAGGTTACTGTATTCTGGCTAGAAATGTAGTTTTTCATAAAATATAGAAACCTAATTGGTTATCTCAGCAGTTGCTAGGATGGCCTTTAAAGTCACTCTGAAACATCACTAGTGAGGATTAAGTATATGTAGGCAAAAATACAAATACTTGAGACTAAAGCACGGAATTGAAAGCCTTCATCGATGAACTCGTCATGCATAAAGTTACCAGATGGTTTTCATCAGGAATTTACAACAGCTGAAAACATGAGAGTACTGGACAGCTGTTTTACACCAGTTTGGGATACATCAGTAATGTGTATTATCAATCGGGGGAGGGATCGAACCCATCGGGCGCCAATCGATGAAACTAAACGATGGTTGCACTAGATGGAGGTGTGAAAAGTGGATTATTGAAATTCGATTCACCGGTTTATTGCCAATGGGTTAGTCACCATACCTCTTGGCTTTGCGGTCGATGCCTAGAGGGGTCATGGGCGCAAACTCTTGAGGAGTCGAGTCACAAGCCAGGACGAACCGATTGCCAAGTGCTTTCAGGTTTTTAATAATTCTCAAACACATCAATCTGACATGGAAAACTACCTTGAAATCAATAAATCCTTACAAACCCCTGACTTGGATTATACACAAAAAATCAAACAAATACAAACCTACCTATCTGTATTACTATTTACACCACTATCAGTAGCCTCCGTTTCCATACTTTCAGAACAATTATCCAAAGAAGCAATATTGTCATTGGTAGCAGTAGATATACAGTTATTTTGAGGATTTTCTTGTGTATCAGTTTTTATCGAACTATGTGAACACATTAATCCATCTTCACTGTGAGCTCGAGTGTCATCATTCTCGGAAGTCTTTCCATTTTCTTCTGTATCACCATTACAACCAGATGATTCATTGCTTTCGCTCGGTGTAACAAATTCAGATAGATCAAGACGATCCAATGGAAAAGTAAACTTATCATTTAACTTTATACGATTCAATGTGATTGGATCAAATGTGAAACGCATTAGTTGTAACGTTAATAAATAGGGCATTTTATGAAAAGCACATCCACGTTCAGCGTCTCGTTTACACTCACAATATGAACACCAATATTGATTACTGCCTTCTAAGCGTTCCGGTTTAATCAGTGCTCTAAAAGCGGCTTCCTGTATTTGAAGCAACAACAAAATGGACATCATTCAGAAAACTGATATGATATAAAAAAAGATTGAATAATTTGAGTCAATAAATCATTTTCATAGTAAATTTTATTCCGTAATTGTAAAATACAAACTGCATAGAGCTTATTACAAAGAGAGAAATGATTACTGCGCCCAGACATTACTAGTTGAATATATTAAGACACATAGGGGGACCAGAAGTACTGAGGCTTTCACGATTTCGCTTCTGGCTTGGATCAGGAGAGCATGTTGTTTCACTTCAAGTAGAAATGAAACAAGTGAGAAATACTTTTTAATTTAGAGGTGGTATTCATCATGAACTGACATCAGTTGGGGAATCATTGAAAATCTGGGAGCCCTGGACAGCTGTATTGTCTGGTTAGTATGGGATGCCTCAGTAGTACGCACCCACCCGGTTAGGGATCGAACTCAGGGCCTTCAGGTTTTACGGCGAACACCTTAACCATTCCGCCACTAGGTCGGAGTTCAGCGGTCTACTTTCCAACTTGTCAATTCATGATATAGTGCGACTATCACCCAAGGTCTTCAGTTGCCATCCGCTTCCCTTCCGACTGATTGACCCCAAAAGTCACGGCTTCTCATTACAGCTTCATGATATCCATCTGGAAGCAAGTCATTAATGAGCACTATACTGTGTGTATTTTTGAGATGAATGGGGATTTTTATTCAGAGGTAGTGTTCACCACGGACTGACATCAGTTGGGGAATTATTGAAAACTTGGGAGCACTGAACAACTGCTTCGTCCATACTACCTCTAAATTTAAATCCTCAATCAACTAAAAAATAAAATACTTTTTAGTTGGCTATATAGTAACTTAACAGATTCGAGTGAATAATAACAGTTGGCATAACCTGAAAATTAAAACACGTACGAGTGTATAAAACTTATAATCTTTAATCTGTATGAATTCTGTTGGTGTCAAACCGATCTTAGCAATGATCAACTCACTAATAACTATGGACTAAGTTACCTAAAAGGTTGTGGGCATAATTACAAACTTTTTCCGGTAATAAATATGTTCTGAAATTGCCGAATATAAATAATATTAGGTGAGCATAATATCATCATAATTATATACCAGTCTATTGCAAGTGCATAAAGCGGTAGGTTTACAACCTATGCTTTGCAAGTAACAGGAGATTGAATGGAACTAATATTTATGAATGCGGTGAATAAAAAGGTTTCTAAATTAGCATTTGTTTATTTGTTCAGCCAGCTGAACAGAATCCAGTGTCCGAGAAAGTGGTGGTTTGGCTGACTGACTGACAGAATCAACGTAGAACTTTGCACACAGGTGCATTGCCTCAAGTTGCCACACTTCAGCGCAGTACATAAAGAATAAGTAGATAGAAAAATGATATCAAAGTGAATAAAGTTGTGTAAGAGAATAAACAATCTAAAGATGAAGATTTGTGTGAATATTCAAGCTCTAGATGTCAATGAGTGAATACAGCTGCACCATTGTGAAAGATTTTCAGGCATGTCACCAATAGTCCTCAACCACCGATTCCTCTCATCTTGGGGACCCCAACAAGGCAGTCTACGTCTCCCAACACGACTCAGATCAACAGCAAGAGACTTCATGGACTCGTGCTGCGTTTTCTCGTCTGGCCACCTTGAGCACTCCTCTAACTTAATCCAACTTCCCTTAACATGGGACGTCGAGGTAGGAAATGGCTCAGCGTGCGCAACATGTGTCAAAGCCACCTTAGTCGATTAAGGTTCACAACCTCGTCAGTCGACTTGCCTGCCTTGCCTCGTACCCTTCATCTGATCTCTACATTGCTCAAACAGAGACTACACCAAACGCGAGTTATGCTACAAAGACACCTATGATCAAAGCCCAATAATCGCTACATGTCTTCTACTTTTAACGGCCATACCTCAAGCGTACAGCAGGACAGGATAGAACGGACTGCAGCGCAGTGTACTCATTCTTTGATAGATATAGTCGGATGTCTCGCCTGCGCACAAAAAGATGACTCAAGTTGGCAGATGCTAAACAGGCCTTTTGTTTTTAATCTCGGATTCCGTCAGTAAACAGGTCCTTCGAGCTGGTGCGACTCCCCAAGTAAGTGAAGTGGTCGACACATTCCACCCCTTCGCTCTCTATCACTGAGCTTGGAGTACTTATAGTAGACCAGTCCTGGAGCATCATCTTACATTTGACGGACGCAAAACGCATACCAAACATACTCAAAATTTCTGCTCAACATGTTCAGAAGGCTCTGGATTTTGTCAGCGTCTTCACCCAGTAGGACGACATCGTGTGTATACTATAAAACAACCTCCGGGGAGTAGATCAATCTCTGTGAAGTCGGACGTGTACCTATGTTCATTGGTACGTCTATGACGAAGACAAGAATGGTGACAGTGGACATCACTAGCGGACTCCACTAGTTGTCATCAGTTCACGTGACAACTTTCCATAAGCCCTGACACAACTACATGAGTTCGATTAGCGTTATATACTTTCTCGGTAGTCCTTTCATATTCAGACACTGTCACAACACCTCACATCTGACAGAGTCAAACGCCGACTTCAGGTCAAGAAATATGGCAAGCATCGGCCACCACTAGGTATGCCTGTGTCCCAGAATCTGTCAGAGGGTGAGAATCTGGTCTATGCACCCTCGTCCTGATCTTAAACCTCCTTGGTTTTCTCGAGCTCCAGTTAGGTGTCGCATAACTATGGGATAGAGGGATAGAGAGAGACTAGTCCGGAGAGGGACCAATCAAAATGTACCTTATGTGATCACTTCTACGGTTAAACAGACGGATAGTGGATCTGCAAATCAATATTATTATTTTAAACAGCGAACTATCTATATGTTTGATATATTTTCCTTTGTTTTTAGGCCTTCAGTCTTTTTACCCCAACACATGTTACTACACGTTCATCATGTCTTCTCCATTAATTAGTCAGGTCGGGAATTATCTAGGAATTTGTTGAACGTTGGTGGTTGACACGATATCCGTGGATCGCTAGCGGCCATAGCGCATAGCAGTTTTCGAACCATAGCATATGGACCCCAAGATCTTGGACACAATACCAGTCAAGCTAATTTCCCTATCGTTGTCACGAGATTTCTCCCCCTTCTTATAAATTGGGATGATCAGGGAACTAAACCAGTCTGACGGCATCATCTCTGATTCCCATACGCTACCTAGTACAGCCGTCACTCTTATCAGCAATTTCTTACCTCGACCCTTGAAAACTTCAAGTGACAAACTGTCAGGTTCTGCTGCTTTGCACCGTTTAAGGTTTGATACAACATTCTCAACTTCGAGGAGGGTTGGAGAACTGACATCTACGTCCTATTCAGGTTCAGGCTGGTTGGATGTTGAGCAACTAAGGATTTACTGAGGGTCAGTTGAACTTTGCTTTAAAGTATTCCTCCCAACCTTCTAGCCATCTTTCCTGGAAGGTTATCAGAGTCCTATTCTTTTCGGTGATGATTTCACTAGCCACCGTCTTCTTTTTGCCGATATCCTTAATGAGCCTAAATAGCTGCTGAACACTACTCAACATTCATGCCTTCTCCATCTACCTCGCTTTCATCATCCACCACTACTCCTTATCATTACGAAGACTCCTAGTTAACTTTTGTTTGAGCTGTTTCCGCTCTTCACAGCCAACCGGAATCAGTCTTCTCGTATCAATCAAATCCGATGACGTTGCGGATATCCGCTGATGCTTGCTAGCCTTTGCGTATGGGTTACCAACTATCTTTACGGCTGTTTCTGCAGCAAACTTAATATCACGCCAGGTTTCCTCAGGATGAGAATTGCTAGCATGTTCAGATAAATGCTTAGCTAACTCCCCATAATTACGTATTTGGCATCTTCGTCTACCACGCGAGCATAGGAGAGACTTTCCAGCGGCCAACACTGGCTGTAGTTACTGAGCAATTACACGGTAGCATGATTCCGAGTTGAGACCCATGATTAGGATTTTTTTCTTGATTGATACTTTTTTGACAGACTGTTAAAATTTCAGGTTGATAGGGTCAAATCTTACCTTAGATCAATAAATACGACAAGGGTCGGGTGCGGAATGTGTGCTTGAAGATCTATGAAAAGATGATCAATGTATCTTCGTTTAGGTCGAACACTTTCCTGGTTTTCTCGAGTCTCAGTTAGACTTCAGATAACAATGGACTTTAGAATGCTAGAAACAATGTTAGTCAAAATGATTCCCATAATTGTCATATGAAAAGTAATTGACTTAACCACACTAAGAATAACGATACTACCTATAGATCAAAATGACAGTAAATTGAGTGGATATTAATTCGTGGTTCAGTCGATGAGATCAGATTGTATAATGTACTGTCACGTAATTTTTACTTCGGTGAATCTCCCATCGCTCTGTGTGTATCAAGTGAGCGACCAACTGACGAAAACAGACACCTAGATCTACGCTGTGAGATAGTTCATGGAGAAAGCAATTTTAATGAACCCAAGTATATGAAACCAGATGTTCATTTCACAGGTGATAAGAGTTGCTATGAAAAGATCACTCATTCATGATCCCAAATGAGTAGTGGTTATCCTAACAAAATGTAAAAACTAGGCATAATTATTTAACTACTGTGAAAAAGAAAGTGAGCAGTCAAATGTACAAATGCAATACAAAATCACTTACCAAACTTTCATATGGTTTGGCATTTAATTCAAATGACCTCAGAGGGACTTGAATATCCAAGAATGTATCAGGTCGCCAACTAACACGATTACAATACAAGCAACGGACATAATCGGATCGTTGTCCCTGATAAAGTCGATTAATTAAATTGAATGTTGATGATGAAGTTTTCTTTTTGTCATCATTTTTCTCGTCTTCTTCTTCTGCTTCTTCAGCATCATTTTCCTTGTGATCACCATCATTAGCACCAAGACAACTATTGCCAGTATGATTTTTATCTTTCGAGGACTTTGAATATCCCAATTTCTTTTCTAAAGCATCAAATAGTATTCTGCATAACTCATGAATATCTTGTTGTTGTATAATATCACATGAACGCCATCCAAATGAGGTGGTTACACCATTTGTACTAATTGCTGTACTCTTTGTAGTCTAAATGAGAATTATGAGACAAAATAAGAAAAATGTAGTTTTTCACATACAAGCTACCACCAACCGATCCTTATAATCTTAGATAAAAATATTCATGAATACTACAGCATGATAACATGCCAACACTTTAGCTGTGTCATCAATGTACCATTGAAGTATTTGTAGATGATTTACACGGGATGTCCGAAAAACTTGATTGATCATATGCAGTGCTTAGCCAAGGTTTAGATATTATGGAGCTTTCAATACCAACCATGTTACAGATATCAGAAATGTAGTACAAACCAACTTTCAGCTTTTTAATCGATGGCAATTTTTAACAATCAGGTCACGATAAACATGTCCACAATAATAACAACCTGACTACGACCTGAGATTTGTAAATGTGAGAACAATCTATACAGGTTTAGTCTCAAGATTGTGAAAAAAGAAGAGAATTATATTTTTTCGAATGGAAATAGGGAAGACTTATGAAATAATTAATGAGAATAAATAATTGCACGCTTTTGACGTCTCTAACTGTTATGTTCCTGAGTGCATGTAATACGCGAGCTTAACTAACAGCTAACTCATTCACCAGCTATCTTCGACTCTAAACCGCAGATGAAAACAGAAAGAAGATCGATATGGATATGAGAGATTATTATCTTCGAGAAGATTTCAAATAACGCAAAACACATGCGTATATATACACGATACGTGTGCAGAATTTAGAACATTAACACACTAAAAACAATAGTTAACCAGCTAGCGAATTATCTTGGAAAAAAGAAGGATGTAGCGCTAGACAGGGCGCAAAAATGAAGAAAAAACGATCATTTAAAAATATACAGATTAACAAATGTTTTATGTAAATCTGAGGCCTCCCAGCAATAACATCAGTGCATGTCTTAACGATAGTTTCTTGATTCAACATCCCATAAGATAGAATTTGACCTTACCATTCTTTAGAATGAGGTCCTACCTTATTGATATTTACCTTCATCCTGAGCTAAGCGAAATAAAGGGAAAATGTCCAGATTACGGTGCTTTGCAGAAGTGAAATGAAATGTGATTTGATCCCATCCCATTGTATTTTCATTACATAACTCTTTATTGATTTGTTTATTTTCCTTTCCTCTTACACTTTTTACCCCTCTGTACAATTAGTAATTCTTTTACATGTTATATGGTCTATCAATGATTTTGTTGTACACAACTGGAGATTACTAATTTTCTAATTTTCAAATATCTTATGTCCTAATAACCAATTACACTTTTCGACTGTATGCAACAGCTGAAAAGTATTCGTGAAATAAAATGATGATGCCATGTTATTCTTCAAGTTTCATCCTTCTTGCTTTAACCAAATTTATCAAGGGATTCAAGTACAAAATTTACAATTTCTACCACAAAAACAAAAACAAAACATAGAAGAGGAACTCTTCTTCATTTATCCTTTCTTCAAAACCTCCACAATCCCATTTAAATTACATAAAAATAAATTGAAGCCGACTGGATGATGACCTACAAGGAGAACTATAAGTCGATATGAAATCTGATTCGAGGTATCACACACAGCCTGTAAAAGAATGACAGTCTACACGAATTGACAAAACACGTTGGCAATAAAGACGGAAAACACTACAAACATATCATCCAAATACAAAGTCTACTTACTGTCCCAGTCTCATCATAAAGAAAATCAGTATGGATAATTATATTGAATGCAAAGACCACACTTAAATTTCTTAATGATTTAGTTCCGTATGAATGTGACAGTTGAAGGCTTTTGAAGATGTTTTGAGGGATTAGGTTGAAGAACCTGCTATGAGGAACTACATGGAGACGACGTGTCCAATGATGGAAACGTTGATTATCCTTTGTCGATTGTGATAATATTCCCCAAATGGTTACGGCACCGGGGCACTATATATAACCAACATCCACGACTCCATTCCTAATCTTCTCTATGTAATCACTTTCTGCAACCAAACTCCGGGAAAGATAAAAACCCTTCTCCTTAACACTTCAAACTTCGTATATCAATTCGAAGGTGTTTGTGGAAGCAAATAGATAGGTTGTATGGAGGTAGCTGCCTACTTATATAGTTTAGCACTTCCACAAATGATTAAATCGTTTTGAAGTTAAGATTCCAAAAAGCTTGATAACAAAACATCTACACATTAGGCATATTATCAACTCTATCGAGTCATTTACAGTGAGCTGCAGAAACCAAAATAAGAAACTGTTTGCAGTCACAGAAGCCAGAGCTATTCAGATTTATGAACCAACCCTTTTTATACAGAAAGAAATGGTGGTGACTCTTAATTACCCTGGGAAACATTTTTTAAGGTGCTATGAATCTGGAGTAGAAACCAAAGGGGAAATAATAATGGTAAGTTTGTTATTATTTATTTGTCCTTTGGGTTATTAGTGGAACATAGGGCTTCAGTGGTACGTCGCCATTTCATTGTCCTCTGAAGTCTTTTCAACCTGGCTCCACGACTGCCCACAACCTTTCACTTCTTCCTCACATCATCTCCTCCATGTCACCCTCACCTCGGACGCCCAACTCATCGTTTCCCCTTTGGATTTCACTCGAGGGCCTCACGCGTGGTGTCCCCAGTTGGTCTTCTCAGTGTATGCCAAATCCATCTCCACTTTCTTCCGCATATTTGTTGGATGATAGGTTCTTGGTTGGTTGGTTAGCAGACCAGAGTCCCTTGTTGCTTATTCTCATTATTCTGGCCATCTGATCTTCAGTATCGAGCGTCGGCAGCTGTTTATGTCTGCAGTTTGTTGGCCCGGCTAGCTCAGTCGGCAGAGCATGAGGCCTCTTAACCTCAGGGGTTGTGGGTTACACAAAAACCAACAGGACATTCAAATCTAGAAAGACCTGGAAATAGCCAAGATCACTGTGAATATACATACATAAACCCTTGTATTTTGCATATATTTTTGACGTTGTAATACACCTGTTGGCTTACCGTCTTTCCCACTTATCGAAAACTGAGCGACCATCAAGGAGTGGAATCTGAAGGTGATTGTCCAAGCGTCTGCATATATATATATATATATATATATATATATATATATATATATATATATATAGTCACCACAAGAATATAAAAAGTGGCAACAAGGTTGTAAAATGAAAATGTTACATATAAACTAAACTCTATGTATATACAATCACCTGCAATTGAACAAATAAACGTTGAAGTTGATACGGAATACTGGTAACAGCCTCTGTTGAAGTACCTTCAAAATGCCAGTGGTATAGTGCATTACGAAACTCTGGAGTCATGAATAATGTCTGCAACAAGCTATTCATATAACACGTCATACCAGAATTGACAAGTCCAACAAAAGCTAGGAAGAAATTGAAAGCATTTACTGATATAAATATATCAAAGAGAGTGGTTGCAGTTCTTCAAACAAAAGAGGTCAATCATTAAATATTGACGATAATTAACCCTTCAAATTACAATGAACTTCCTTCATTCGTGACCATAGGAAATTCATTGAAAATAGATTGGTATCTGAACACTAAGATTTCAATTTTATAAAATATAGGTATAATTTACTTGTTGTTGACTAGGAGTAGAGAATTCAGGAAGCGCCTTTTATCCTATTTGGGACTCGTCAGCTGGATGTACCTGCACACTCCTGAATCATGGTTTTTATAACGAATAGCAAATACAGATAGTGTGATCTGTCTTAAGATTTTCTAATTGAACTCTTCAATCAAATTGTCTTGTTGCATAGCTAACCGAGTTACATTTTGAAGTCAGTGGTTTCAGTTAACTTTTTTGGAAATGATACTTCTGAAGTGTGGAAACAGAAAAGATATAGAGCATTCGGATATTCTTCCTCTCCATTACTATTTTCGTTTCCCCTCCAAAACAACTCATACGAATCTTAAAGCGTGAAATCTTAACCATGTATGTGCTACATTCTCCAACGACCAAAGCATGATGAATAGGTCAAAAGGTATCTCCATATAACTCTACTATCCTACGGTCAATATAGGTTGTTTTTGAAGCAAATGTATGGATTTCTGGAGTGGTTTTTATTTTTAAGCTGGTGAAAACATAAGTCTTTGATGAGAGAGGGAGTACACGGAATTCACATAAAGAAAGCGAGGGTTGGTGGTGGAAGCAGCAGTTGCGTCTAGTCATAGCTGGAAGTTTCTCCAGTTTATTTGAGATACTGGGAGGAATAAGCCTAGTGTCACCGAAATTGTCTGTTAAATCTGTAGTATCAGCAGTCATTAACCCATAAAGATGCCTGGAATACTGAGCAGAATGCTTCATAAGACAGATTAGTAGGTCTACTGCACCAATAACTACGACTTTAATTCATTATGTCCCATGATTGATTGACACTGACTCATCTAACGAAACCAAAGTCAACAAGGAACTCGAAATGCCGTAAGGCACATGGTTCTGACCAATTACCACCGGCTTTTATCTAAAGATGGAGGAAAAGCTAACCAGGGAACTGACTTGGTCCCTCAAAAAGGTATGATGGACTGGGAGTGTCTCATCACTCTAGAATAAGGCCATCACTGGACTTATCCTAAATAACCCTACGAAATGTGCTTAGTAATTGTCAGTGTGCCACAGTTTGTTGCCGGCCGCGTTAAAGCTCCTGACTGTCATCAAACTACACAAAACGCGTGAGAATTCGACTTATGAGAAGCGAACCAAGTGCTATAGAGGTTGTGGACTCATTGGTCATGGATTTATATCATCTAACACCGCTAAACACATTTAAAACTGACGACTACAGTGTTTCTCAATATTATATCTAAGTTTGAATTATTGAATAAGACTACACTCTGGAATTATCTATGATGGTCATTCATTGAGCGAGGTCGTTTTGAAACTCCGGCTTCGGTGGCTTGGATGTGTGTTACGAATGGCAGCGTCCCAGAGGTTCCCAAACTACCCATTGTTAGCTCGCCCCAAGAATGGCTTGAAGGAGCGGAGAGATGGTTAGTGTATGATGTGGCTCCATAAGATGACGGATAGCTGTGTCGGGTAGATGCGTTCCTAGAGGGGACCTGATAGATTACTCAGCTCAATGGTATTAGATAGGAGACGGCTCGAAAATGAAAACCAGTGGGGACCATGCTGCAGTTGTCCTGTTTCTCCTACCACTGAAAAATAAAACGAAAGTAGTGAATGCTTCATTGGATATACTTATAAGATTGGTTTTTTGATGACCCACTTCTGCTTATATTTTCTTTTTCCTTTCCCTTTTTCTGCATTATGTTTTTTTAGTTACTGTATTATTTTACATGTCATACCTCTTGGTGCCCGTGTTGTACACAGTTTATGTTTTGACAAAGTATAAAATAACTGGAGAGCACTTGCTATGAATTTTATTGGCAATCTGAAGGCTCCATACAAAACACAACACGTTCAGCAAACGCATACAGCCAAACTAGCAGTGTGGTTGAGGATGGCTACCCAATATGTCCACCTCTCTTTATCTCAACTAATAGCTACTACCTTGAAGTGGTGGCCGGGTTTGAATATCACAGTGATACAACGAACTACACCAGGTGGAACGCTTGCCCCTTCGAAGTTTGTCGCATAGTGGTTAGGCAAAAAGCAGTTGCCGTTATAGTGCAAACGGCTACACCATGATTGGGGTCCCAAGGCGAATTCATACTGCTGGGTGCACGACAGTGTGAGAGCATTAAGATGTTTCCTGCAGATTACCAGCAGTACCATGGTGATGCTACCTTCCCTAAAGCGACAGTGGTGGAAAAGGTTGGTCACAAAAATAGTACACTCCTTACCCTGTGGTAAGCCTTTCCTAGTCCGGAGTTAGAACGATCAAATCTCAAACCAATAATCCTGAAAAACAGTGACAAGTTTGAAACAGATGTCCTTTAAGTCTTAAGGTCAAAGCAATATTATTCCTTCCCCTCTTTCAAGTACCGCGCAGAAGCAACTCCCACGATGCAGGCAGCCGGGAAGTACAGACCAACCGCACGCTCCTAGTAGTATACAAAACCCAATCGAGCATGACTTCACTTACTGCATTCCGCCTCCTTCGTTGCTGTAACATCCTGATACCAATATTAAGCCACTTACAACTTCTTCAAACTCTCACTCAGAGACCGTAAGTCAGTAAAGCACTATTTCTAGCCTCCTAAAACTCCACTATTGGTATCACGGAATCTTCAATATGTGAAACCTATGCCAGATAGAACGGCAGCCATAGCTCACCGGAACTCCAAAGTCTTGAGCCATGGATGTATGCTGTTTCTGTGACACGTATAGAAGAGTCAAGTGCAGTTATTCTCTTGATCTAGCCTGGCAAATGTGGTTAATTCCTGAAAGCTGACTCTATGAGTATCTGGAGACTCAATGGCTACCTATCGTGGGGTTGTTGGTATACGTGAAGGATCACGTTCTCCAGGGGAAAGCGCTTTTCTCGACTGGACACCAACCAATGCGTAGTGGAAAATATCTTATTTGTGTCACTTTTAACCGTGCTAGTGAATTTATAAGTGCTTAAAGAGAACCAAGAGAAGGTCGCTAACTTGGTTCAATGAACACAAAAGAATTTACGTCCAAAAAAAATCAAAGTCCGCATTGAAAAAGTTACGCAACTCAATAACCACGTGGAGTTCTGTGCAGTAGGCTATGATGTGTGAAGACTGATAATACTACTTGGTTGTCCAAACTTTGATAGGTGGAGTAGGGTTTGAAAATGTGGCTCATCGATTTTAAGTCCACTTCTAGAAAAATAAGCCCCACGGAATGATGGCAAAGACTGATAATAAGAATGTGACAGCAGTTGACTGACTGACAAAACCAACTCAGAATCTTGTACACAGGTGCATCGGCTCAAGTTGCCACACTTCACAGTAGAAGTAGCAATTGATAATTCCCGGCTGCCACAGCTCCACCCAGGGTTGGCCATAGTAGAGCTACCTGACATATGGAGGATACAGGTTACTAGGTTAACACTCTACAAGTCTTTAAAGTATTAAGTCTGCAAATAATGTTGCACTGATTCCCTTGGAAAATATTGTTACAAATCAAACTTGTTCACACAAAAACGCATTATTATAACTTTACGGAGTTTTCGTCTAATGTGACGATGAAGTGATATCTATCACAGATATCTGCTACCACTATTTCTTATTCGACCTCGCCGAAATAGACTGATGAGCATTGAGAAGTAGAGAGGAACCTGGATAGATGTAATACTGATAAGTATAATGTTTAGAGTTTTAAGTAGTTTTACTCCCATTTATTTTACTTTTCATAAATACACTCAATGAGTGACGCCTTTAAGGATAACCAAACTGTTTTGCAATATTAGATGAGGATAGTTAAGAATGGTGACTTTGACTGCTAAAAACCGAAGATGAACTTAAACATACTAAGGCGTGATCAGAGTTCAAACATGTGTTCCTAAGATAGAAATCAGAATATACTCAACATTCAAATGCACGTTCGTGCAGTAGGCAATGAACAACAACTATTATATAGAAGTTAACTATACTACCTGGTTACCCAAACCTCGGTAGACGGATCGGTGTTTGAACTTCTGACCCATTGGTTGGAAATCAAGCGCCGAGATCAGTGAGTTACAGATTCAGAAGGAGGTAAGTTTTGTATGTACTCTCGCCAACCATTGCTAATTGAAATATGACATGTTACAATCCGTACTTGATCGGGAGAGAGAGGAAGTCAGGTTGTATGGTAGTGATAGCTGTACCGGAAGTTAGTGGTAGGTAGAAATGAGTTATGTGCGCAAAGTCACAGTAGAAAATTCCTGCTATTCGACTTCCAATCACATAATCCCTACTGACCATCCAAACGACTCTTCTCTGAACGTAGACACTTAAACTAGGCACTGAAGTCCCCACTACGATATTTTATGAATGGAATAGCACAGTATACTCGATCCATAATGGACAATCGGATACCACGAGGGCATCATAAATGGTGAAAGTTGGCGGGGAGAAATAGATCCCTTGGTATCCGTGCTAAGATTTCGATGGTCACTGATCGACGATGGATGATCCTACTTCCCAAATAAGTAAGTGGTCAACATGCTCAACCATATCCTCCCCATCGCTAGACAGAACACCACTAAAAATCAGTCCTGCAATAACAATTTACTTTTGGATGGCAAAAAATGCATCTCATTCTCAAATTGCCACTGAAGGTGACCAGAAGAAAATGTATCTTGTCAGAGCCTTAGCGTACCCTAGATCTACGACAGATTCTCCTGTGATAAGACCAATCCCTGTAGAGTCAAACGACGAGAGGAGACCTCCGTATGTACATGTACGATGAAGTTGAGTAAGAGAAAGAGAGAGGGAGAGAGAGAAAGAGGGAGAAGGAGAGGGAGAGAGAGAGAGAGAGAGAGAGAGAGAGGAGATCGTTGTCGGACACTACTCGAAGTACACAACACTCAAAGTACACTGACCATAGGCTCTAAACACACTCACAGGTGCTCGAGTACAGAGGGTTTAACAAAGTGATGTGCTTACTTAGCATCTCATTCAATGGGACTTCCGTAAGACCTCTCGATCAACGGAGTGGAATACTGCCTTGAGAACGGGAGATACAGTTGGTGTCGGGTGTCGGTAAGTGTGTTTGTGTTCGAGACCCTGGTGGAGGACGAATATCTGGTCAATACACCCACGTTTAGGTTTTGAAGCCTGCCTGGTTTTCTCGGGTTTGCTGTTCTTGAGCTTCAGTCAGTTGTCTAACGATCAAAAGACCTAGAATCTCTGACACTAGTTTCTTCAGGCTTATTCCAATGTAGTTCTCATGAGAATTTCTCCCTTTTCTTGAAGACTGGGACAACGGGTGATTGAGACCAGTCAGAAGCGATTATATCTGACTCGGATGCAGTAGTTTACACTTTGTTTAACTTGACTAGAAATGGTCTACCACCATGCTTAAATACTTGAGGAAGTAGTTTGTGTGGCCCTGCTACCCTTCCTCATTTCAGGTTACCTACAGCTTTTCGACTTCTGCAAGCGTCGTGGGTCCTTTCTCAATCTTCTATTCAGGCTCCAACTGGATAGTGGACAACGAAGTAGTAGACAGAAGTCTGATTAAACTGTTATTCAAAGTGTTTCGCCCATCGTTCCGGTCGTCTCCTCTGCAAGTGAATCACAGACTTATCCTTCTTTGCAATAGGCTCATCAACCACTGACCATTTCGCCCGTTTCCTCAATAAGTCCAAATAACTGTCTACTGTTACTAATCACCACTGCCCTTTCCGTCTCCTTAAACATCTCTTCCCAACACTCTTTGAGATCACTACGTAGACGTTTTGTCAGTCTGCGTTTGAGTCGTATTCCCTACTCAATGTGTTCAGAGCCTGCGGGTATGCGTTTGCGTGAATGCAGTAATACAAAAGAAGGGAAGGCAGCATCGGGGTGGTACTGGTGGTTATTCATCGAAAATAATTACTGCTAATAAGTCCCCATCCAGCCAGGAGTACGACTTCGCCCTGGGACCCTTATTCTGGTGTAAAAGTTTATACGATAACGGTAACTGCTTTTTGTCTAGCCACTTTTCAACAAAACGTTTTGGTGTGGTAGGACTCTGAGGGAACAAGCGTTCCATTAGCATAGCTTGTTGGGCTCAATCACCACTTCAAGGCAGCATCTACCGATCGCGATACATCATACTAACAATTAATTAGTCTCCTGAAGAGATTATACCAATTTTGTTCATTGGTATACGTACTAATAATGCAGTCACATAACTCGAACGCAAAACAACAAGTCAGTCATTGGAGGAATTAAAACGTCTTAAATTTATGAATCGCAAAATTATTGCGGAAAGGTTTCAAATACAACAACAAATGGGACTGACTGCTGACATAATGGATATCAGAAATATTTTAGGTAAAACATGGACTAACGGAATGTGTAAAGATCTTGGTTAACACTAATCAAACGTTGATGTATCACTAGATTCCTTCTCCAGGAGTCCTTTAAAGCGTTTGGTTACACTATAATTAGTAACTCCACATAATCTCTTAGTGCTGTTTGCTCGGAATCTCCATCGATTGCTGGGGATTACTTCATTCACACACGATTCTTTATCTTGTCCGTTTACTGATTTTAACCAGTGGGACTGATTTCAATGTTACATACCTAGAAACGTGCCAAATAACTTAATTTTCTAATTTCTTTGTATTTTTCTTCCCTTTCCAGCAACTAAGTAGGCATAAAAATCAATAACTCCAGACAATTTGGGATTTTTACTTTCTACGTTTTCAATATTCTGGTTTTACTAAGTCACAGTGTCTTCTGAGTTATCAATCAACCCTTTATAATTAGTGTCATTCTATAGAAATTCAGTCGTAGCTGTCATTTCCAGCTGCTTGCAACTGATACGAATCTGTGAAATAAGATGAGTTCATTTTATTCTGCACATCACGTCAACCCTGTCTCGCCAAAGGAAGTACTTGCATGAAAACTAGAATGGTTTGACTTGCTCTGAATTTCAAATAGGAGTAAAAATGCAAGCACTGACTAACAGTTTGTACCACCGGGAAGTGCATAAAAATGGTGAAATTAAAAAGCCGAAGCCAGATGAGTGCAACGGATTTCGTCGTAAATTATGCGCATGAAATATCTAATACAGACTAGATTTGTTAGGCAGCAGTCAGAAGTGACTATAAAGTCTTAAAACTGCTGGACTTTTAGAATACAAAACATAATTTATCCAGTAAAGTACAGAGTAAGAAACAATTACCACTTCCTCACGTTGCATATCTTATTGACTGCATGAATTACCAACAATATGAGTAAAAAGCATACGGTAACAAGTTTCCTATCGATCTCGCTGCTACACTGAATGTATGAATTAACCAATGGTTAGTAAAGCTTACAGTTGTGCAAACTGAAGGAGCATTTCTTAAAAGTGGATTTCTACACAGAAAAACAAAGTTAAGCGGATACCAAAAAAGCATCTGATGTAAAGAAAAAACTTACTCTGTGCAACCGGATGATCAGTCGTGTTTTCACTTAAAGTTGAGTTGACTGAAGTATATCCTTCGCGTGACGAAGGATCCGATAGCACGATGGCAGTGCATGTATTGAGTGGTTGCATTGAATAAGGTTCTGATTCCCCATTTTCCATACAACTTAAGCCAATAACCGAACCATCATCACTATTTGACGTACTTGTAGGCTGTTGAGATTCGTCTGTAAGATAATCAACGAGTAACTCTCCTTAAATCTTGATGTAGTAAAAACCCTTGTTGGAGTAATTACACTTGTTATATAGGGAAAGCATTTGGGTGAGAAAAAACGATACTACAAGATAGATGAGTAATAATATTGCAACACAGAGACCACCTGCAGTTCGTACACTAGGTGATGATCCGCATCAGTTGTGTGAAGGATAATAATACTACCGGGTTACCTAATCCCTGGCACCTGCAGCGGAGTTCGGGATCGTGACTGGTTGAAAACCAGTTGAGTCATATTCAAGTGGAGTGATGGTTTTTACATAAAGTGGTCAATGACCGAACCTCGTTACCGAAACAAGTAGTAGCAGCTCCTTCAGTGGTAGTGTCCAAGGAAAAATTGGACTTTTACGGAAACAATTGCTGCAAGGATCAACATATGCTAGTAGCCTACTATCCTATTCACTGAAGGCTGGGGACAATCAGAGCTATTACTGATCCCAAAGCTACTCGTTGTTTAAATTCATTCTGAAAATTTAAAGCAGTAGAACTCCCGCAAGGTACACCATTGAAGATTTACTCTTGCTTGGCTAGGACTTGGAACCTTACTCATCCACTTTCTAGTTTCGATTTTTAAACTGACTCAACTTTTCAATGAGAAAAGCCATCGTCTTTTAATTAACTCTTTACTAAATATGAGTACATTATCTTTTTCGATGAGTTGTTACTTTTTCCTCCCCATCTTCCCACCTAGACTCTTGTGATTACCGTAAAATTGACACTTCTGCTCGCCTTCCTGCAACAATGTGTCTACAGGCTAGACGAAAACCTACTAACGATTGGTCGTCACGCTCACTAAGCGGCTCCACACACCGTTAATAATGAAATTTAATTGTGGGAACTGTGACATGTCACTACAGAAATCGAACTACCACCTACGATGACTTCTGAAAATAAGAACCAGTGAAAACCACTAAATAACCAAGACTAGTCTACGTTATATACATGCGCAATATGATCTCAAAATTGCACTCACCATCAGAACTTGGCAAAATTTTGACCTCCAGGCGATTTCGAAGAGGGATTTGATCGAGCATCTCATGTAGCAGAGAAGTCACTATAGGAGGGGGAAGAGAGGCACCGTCATCGAGTTCGGACTGTTTGTCAACTTCAAAGTTGTTCTCTAACTTCCCGAACTTTGAGAGAGTGCAAGGACCCTTATAATAGCATTATTCACTAAAATATTGAAACTTACTATGTTTTTCTGAAGATACTCAAGGTCAAAACATTGAGAAGTTAGTTTTAAGTGTTTTCGAACAATTTGGAAAAGGTTGTCGTATGATAAGCTTCCCCGCAGTTGTACAATCAGAGCCTTTTCTTGCTTCTTATCACATATTGACAAAACTACTACATTTTTAGTCCCCATATCTTAAAGCATTCAAATGAAAAAGGCTTCAACACGTGACAAGAAGACTAGCACTGCTACTCGGAATTTCAAACAGAGCGCGTAGCAAACTTGACTTGATGATGCAAGAAGGCAAAACAGGGACAGCTCCTGTGAGAAACAGGTTTCGGCTACCGAAAGTCATGTTCAAACCAACAGAATAGAAAGATCGCATTCTGAAGAACGGAAATAGACTTCAAGGAACTAGAGTGTGTCCAGCATTCAATAACTTTTTACGAGCTAGTGTAAAGCAATTGATTTCTTGGCGCTCGCTTCAAGATCATACGGAACGGTCCCAGGTCTTTGGTGGGTTGCGATGCAGTGGATCTAACCGCTCGACTGCTGTAGCTCTGGTTAGCCCAACAGGAGGTTGGGAGTTGGTTAAATTTGTAGGGAGTGTGTGGTTTTTTCAAGGACTGGTACAGATAGGTTCCTCAATTGTCATGCTAGCAGACGATTGATCGGACCGGTTGTAGAAAGCGGATGGAAAATACGTTCAGAGAAGTCAGGGGAGAGGAAGTGCAAAAAAAAGAAACGATAGAAAAAACGACCGCGTAGAAGGAAACGGAAGGGAAGAAGAAACCCCAGTAGATTCGTGGGGGGGGGGTAATAGGGACAGCTTTTATTAAATGGTGTGAGAACATAAAATCGGTAGGAAGAAAAGGAGCAAACAACATTACAGGACAGGTTATGGTAATAGAGCTAGTATTACCCTTAGCAAGAGACGGTAACTAGAGGGGACGTCTACAGGGAAGTATAAAGTTGAGCCACGTTCGCAATGACGGTGGTTTTACTAAGGATTTGGTAGCGGGTTGACAGTGCTGAGTTGTGCGGAGTCGGTAGGCTGTATCAGCCTAGTCCATATCCCAGATGGATGGGCGCAGGCCATGCGTCGCTGCGTAACTAACCTCTTCTAGGAGCTGTCAACAGACGAAGCGGTAGCAATCTTGGCAGACAGTGCTTCCAGGCGCATACTTGCAGAGAGAAGTGTGAACGCACAAGAGGTTTCGCCCTTTAACGGGCGATTCTCCTAGGGTTACCACAAGGATCGCCACGGCAGCCGTTTGGCAGGATTCCACTGTTCGGATGGCTTGGATTACTTACTATTTTGTGCGCCATTATGAAGTCACCACGTAACCTACGCTAGTTTAGGGAGTAGAGTCCTAGGTCATTCGGCCTGTCCTCATACGGTTTTCGTTTCATTCCCGCGACACCATTGTTGCTTGCCCTTTGACTTTCTCCGGGAGGTTTACATATCTTTTTAGAAGTGGTGATGGAGTGGCGTTGTGGACCTCTAAGGGAGGTCTTTCGTAGGTCTTGCACAGCCTCAAGAAGAGTTCCGGGATGAGGCCACCTAGTTATATTTGCGTAAGGATTTGCCTTTTGCTGACCCAATCAAATCTAGATTAGCAGCAGGAAAGATCGAAAAGCGGTGGTTTTTCACTTGGTGAGGTTTCGGCAACAAATGATGCCGAGGCATCTGTGGATAGGACGAAACCTCGTCTAAGTGGTCTCATCTTCTTGTACACAGATGCGTGTAGTCTGGTGGATAAGGGGACCGAGCTCAATGTTGTTATGAGCATAGAAGGTCCTGAGATCAATGCTATCCCACAGACTGGACCTTCTTCCGAGATCAGTGGCTGTGAAATATATTCGCAATGATTCGTTCCTTTTAGAAGCGATAGATGAGTGCAGAGTTGACGGCGTCATCCTGTTCGTTAAAACATTTGCAATGTGGTGCTGCTGACTAAGATGCAGGGGACTAGATTTTAACCCAATTGTGGTATACTGGGGCCCTGAATGGGAGGCAGAAGGGTCCTTCCCGAGTAGGCTGACCCTGCAGATGGATAACAGTTTAGGCCTAGTTGTAGGAGGCTTCAACCCACCATCAGTTGACTAGGATAGACTAACAACAGAAACGCCACGTAATTCGCCTGATCGTAGGTTAGTTGAAACATCAACTTCCCTACTCTTCAACACCATATTAGAGCAGCAAGCAGATACAAACATCAGCATCCCTAAGCAGTTCTAGACCTTGTGTTCTTGCACAAAGATGGTGTATGCTTCATTCAGCACCTTATACTTCTTGGCAAAAGTGATCATGCCCGATCATCCCCGGATTCACAGAAGGCGCCTTGTATCACACCGATGCCCCGGCCAGGCTGCATGTATGGGAAGAGAATATGGTAGCTATTAACTAGACAGCCTCTAAGCAGGAGTGGACAGTCAATCCAGAAGGCTCAGTTAAAGCTGCATGATGATCCTTCAAGCAGCTATATGTAGGAGTGACTGAACCGTTCATTCTGTGGACTGTTCTGGGAGGGTTGAAACATTTTCGTCATGGATAAATCACGGAATTCGAATCTTGTTACGACGCCAGAAAATGTGTTGGAATCCTGTTACCTGTTTCGGTACTCCCTAGGTGATGAATGGTTGGAGAGAAGCCCGAAACAAATGTACCGTGGCTGTCCACCGGTCTCGAGTATGCTTTGAAACACGTCTTGCCCAGACCGCACTGCAACATCCAAAGAGGTCATTTTCCTATATGGACTATAGAACTAAGATGTATCGTGGTGTACCAGTCCTAATCAAAGGGACAAAAAGTGACCGCTTGATTAAGGGCGAGAAGCAAAAAGCTGAAACCATGACTGGACAGTTGACCGGGGTCTTTACACAGGACCCTTCTATGAACACCATTTCAGCAGCGAAGGCATTGATTTCCAAGAGTAAGCTCTTTGGACATCGACCATAGTGAAGTATTCAAGCCATTAAGTGTTCTGGATGTCAAAAAGTCGGCCGCATTGGATAAATTATAAGCAAGGCTGCTCAGAGGCCTTGCACTGTGTGTGGCCAGCACACTGACTACTATATTTAGACCGTCCCACAGCAAAGGGACACTCTCATATGATTGGAAGGATGGTTTACCCACACCTGACTATGGGCAGACTCTAGGCAGCACCCACCAAATCACAGGCCGATAAGTCTAACTGGTGCCTTGGTAAAAGTTCTAGAAAGTATGATAAAGGAGGCCATTTCGCGTCACCTGGAGAGCAGCGCTGTCATCCCACTGGCAGTTTTTTCCCTTGCTTGATGAATCTTGTGAGTCGGGGAGAGTTGGGTTAAGCCTGACAACCTTGTTATCCACAAATATGACAATTTCTTGTTCACTCTCGTGATCCAAAATTTTGAAAATCAGTAAAGTTGTGGCCTGAAGAACACATGTTTCTAAACGTCCAGGCCGTAGTTGTTACGAATGCCCTGAAAGAAGTTGAGCACCGGGTCAGGTTGATTTATTATATAGGTAAGTTTTAATATGGTGAAAACCTGTTTCTGTACGTTGTACTTGGCTGTTGTGAATGTGACGATACTTCGGCCAATGGCGGGTAGTTTCAGTAAGGGTTGGCTCCCTCAGGAATTTGTGTTCATTTATAACCGAGTCAACGTTTAGAGCTGAAGCCCTTGCTTACGACGAGGGGGAAAGACAAAGCAGCGGGTAGAGAAAAGAAAAAGGAGTTTCAACAGGGAGTTTGTCTTTCAGATGCCCGTTTCTCCTTATCTTGACTTCCTCTGATGTGTGGTTAGTTGTATGTGGTTTGTCTGGCAAACACTCGGGGATTTGATTCTCTGCAAAGAAAATAGTTTAAGACCCTCATCCATGTCCACTATGATGGGTAAAAAGAAGTGTGGGCTGTTGGTTATGGAGCGCGAATTTGTGAGAAAGTTTCTGTAGCGTTGCTAGTGAAAGGTTAATGCAATTTGGGTAGAAGTCCTAATTAGACGTTAAGAGGACCTAGTTTATATAACGCCATGGGAGATACTGGTGGTGCACCAAGTAAGCCGTAAAATCTGTAGAGCTATAAAAATTTAATTGGCAACCGACTAAGTTCAATGATTAGTTTGGAGGCATTGACTGAGAGGACTTAACGGTGAAGAAATTCGCACAAAAAAATGACTAAGAAGGTCTCAGTGCGATGCTGTAGATGCGGTTGCGCAGATCATGATAGCTGCTGCGTCCAAATTGGAACTCAGTGCAGGCTGCAAAGGTTAATTTGTGTAGCATTTTTAAGAAAGGAACCTCGCTCAGTCGACCAGTTCGCTAGCTACTAGCCGTCCTAAGCCCCGATAAAGAGAAAATGTTGGGCATAGGGCTACCAACCCTACCCAGAAAAACCAATCCAGTCGCTAAACAAACTTCAAAGCACAAAGAAATCATAAAGAATAAAATTAAACTTATTCCTCACTGGAACCGGAGAGACGAAATGACGCCACTTGGTGAAGGTCTTCGGGAAGCCAGTTGGCCGATGTGTCCTCTCTTCTCTTGATGAAAGCGAGAGTAAGGATGGGGACATGAAATGTTCCCATCAAATATGAACCTAGCAAGGCAGTCCAGATTGCAAGAGATATGAGAAGGTATGGCATAGAAGTGCTGAGATCTGCGAAAGTAGATGGACTGAAGTGGACTCTCCCAACTGTCAACTGGAGAGTCAATAATCTACCCCGATACTGTCACCCAGACAACAGCCACAGGCACGCTCAGGGAATGGTTATCGTGATATCCACAACAGCACCGAAGGCTAACTCTCACGCAGTAAGAACCAATCTCCTCCAGTATCAGGATCTTCACAGCAACATTCAACTGGAACAGAAGGAAGGTCGCGGTCATACAATGCTAAACTACGTGTCTACAAATAATACAAACCAATAGAAGGAGGAGGAATTCTATGGGCAACTGCAATCAGTACCGGACAAGACACCACTCCATTCAGTGACATCAAAGTTCTGATATGTAAAATGAATGCCAAACTGAGAGCGGACAACGCTGGAAGAGAACTAGTCATGGGTCGAGAGGTACTCAGTGAAGTGATGAATGAGAATGGAGAACTGTTTGCAGACTTCTGCTCATTTAGTGACCTGGTGATTGGAGGCAGTGCGTTCAAGCACAAGGATATTCACAAGGCAAAGACATGGATTTGATTTCATCAGAGCCCAGGACACACTACATTAAAAATCAGATCGACTTCATTTCAGTGTGAAGATAATGGAGATGCAGCCTACTGGACACAAGATGAGGAAGAGGAGCACATGTAGGTTCAGACCATCAGATACTCTAGTGGAACGAACTTACCCTCAAAATCAAGCCGAAAGCCTTCACTTCAAAGAAGCTGGTGATGATAGACCAGAATTGAAGTTGAACACTTGGAACAGAAACTGAACTGAAGGACGAAAGTACAAAGGACATCTTCACGTCAGTCAGT